GTCCTTTATTAGGGAAGACCAGGAGAGATGGGACTGAAGGAAAGAGTAGTTCACACTTAAAGTTACACTTAAAGGAGGCTCAGGTCAGTAATTTATTAAGTGATCAGTGTTTCTAATCAGCCTCTCAACCTTGCAGCTTTTCAGCATTCAGACTTAGTTCTGAATTTTGCATAAAGTTGCAGTTTTGTAATTTGTGTGCATCTGACTCTCCTGGACCAAAAGAGCCCCGATTTTAAGAATATTTGAAAATTAGACCAAAATTAGAGCCTTTTGCTCTTTTCTATACATTGTGTAAGGTGCTGTGTTTAAAATTATATTACTCCAGTGGTCTTGAGCAGAATGGGCTAAAAATGGACATGTCACAATCTGAAAGTGCTGCCCTTCCTTGGGTTTGGGGACACAGATAGAGCAGCCAGCCCTATCAGAGTGCAGCTTCCCTGAGTGTCACAGACAAAGGCAGCTTAGCCAGGTCCCCCTGCTCTATCAGCTTTACCCAGTGCACTGTAAAATTAAGCCCCCAAAAAAGCCCCAAAGAGCTCCACTGTTGTGACGTGGACAGAATTGAGTTTATTTACAGCCAAATGGCGTTTTTTTAGCAGAAATTACATTTGTTGACCTGGTATTTAGCTAACAGGTTGGACAAATGGCAGTGATGATTTTGAAATTTCTGAGTCCATCACCTAAAACTAAAACTTACTGGCTCAATTATCAGGAATTCTAAGCATGTCACCCACACAGGTAGTTCCCTAAGGCTTACTCAGATCCTGAAGAGTTGCAATGCTTTTCTACATCTGTTTGTGGATCTCTTTTGGAGTGACATTTAGGCAGCCATGTCACCTGGCATTTCTGAAATCCACACTGCTGGTGGCTTGTTAGCTGTGAGGGAGAAAATTATATGGCCATCTCAGACCCTAAAGAAAGAAAGGAATTTGGGAAGGGGAATTAATTCCCTAATCTGGGAATTTGGAGCCTGTTTCTGCTCCCAGCACTGTGGCTAACTTGTTAGCTGACCTCCAGATTTTGCAGTTCCCAGCCCTGTGTGTGATGCTGGATGCAGTGAGCTGTTACAAAGCCCATCAGTAATTTTTACAGGATAATTACAGAAACACAAGCCATGTACAGATGGAAATCATGGTGCAGATGTGTATCAAAGCAGGGCTGTCTTTCAGGTGGCCCAGAGGGTCATGGCCTGCTCATTTGCAAATGCACCCCCTGCTCTAAGGCTGTGAGTGTGGGGCTGAGTTTAATTGCTTTTTTGGGATTATAGTGAGAGCTGTGACAGCTCTGGCTGTTGCCAGTGGGTTTGGGCTGTGAGTGACAGACGTTCATTGAGGGCTTTTGCAGTGCTCCACTCATTACCCCTGAGCTGTAATCCATCATGTTGGAGACTGTGACCCTTGGAGTGAGCAGCTGTGGTGCCCGTGCCACGTTAATTTGTTCAATGTTTTGTGGCATGGTTTCTCACTTTGCTCTAAGGGACTCTTCTGAATCCTTGCTGATTGTCAGTCCAGGTCACTCAGCAGCCAGAGGGTGTTTCCATTGCCCTCTCAGGGCTTGTGAACCCCAGGACAGGCAATCCTCTGGTGTAAATCATAGAATCACAGAATCATTGCCTCATTTAGTTTGGAAAACACCTCCAAAATCAAGTCCAACCATTAACCCAGCACTGCCAAGCCCACCACTAAACCATGTCCCCAAATGCCACATCTGCACAACTTTTAAATCCCTCCACAACTCTTAAATCCCTCCAGGGGTGGCGACTCCAGCGCTTCCCAGGGCAGCAGTGCTTGGCAGCACATTCAATGTGGAAATTTTTCTTAACATCCAGAGCAAACTTCTGTGTGGTCGGCGAGGCTGCTCCTGGGAAGGACCGACTGCCAGCAGGAGTAAAGGCCCAGCATGCATGAGGCTTTAAAATGCTCCAGCTGGTCAAAACTATTCTGCCTGTTGATCTCCATTTCAAAGGAAATTGAGTCACTTGGAGAAGTTGCTAGAAAATAATGGCTGGTGACATCCTCGCTGGTGGCATTGAATGCTGTGAAATAGCAGCAAAGGGTCGAATTCTGCAACCCATTATCATGTCAGGCATTTCTTTTGTTCAGCTGCAGAGCCTGGCGGGGACCAGGAGAAAGTCTCACCCCTCCAGTCCTTTCCTTGTAGCTGCTTTTATTAAACAGGCGTTGGTTCCTGTCAACGTGAATAAAGGGAAGAGAGAGCAGTTCATTATCCAGTGTATCACTTTGAGTCTAATACTAATTAAAAGCTTTGCCATCACTTCTCTGGAACCTATTCTTAGAAATTATGTAAATTAATTGGAGTTTTGAAGAGGAGCATATGCCAAATCCTAAGTAATTCCCTGCTGGCTGAGGCAGCTCCAGCACTGGAACCAGAGAATGGCATCAGGAATCTTTTTTCTTTCCTTTTGTGGCTGCAAAAATATAAAGCTGCTTTGGTAAATTCTGATGATTCTCTTTAGCCAGTATATGAGACAGATCAAATATCCAGACCCTGACCATTTTCCAGAGAGGTTCAGTATAAAGGCTTTTTCTCCATGAAAGCTTTTCCATCTCAAAAATGACATTTAACACAGAAAGGGTTTTTACTTCCACAGCATTTCTCCAAAGAAATGCATGTTTCTGCTTCAAAGAGGATTTTGACCCTCAAAAGGGAGACGTACTTGAGATCCTGTGAACTCCCCTTGTGAGTTCACTCTTGCTACTCATTTAATGGGGAAAATATTTACTTGCTATGCTGAAAGACAAGGGAGATTTGATCCCAAGGTACACAGTGCTTTTGATGTAAAATACTTTTAAATATTATTAGTGGGGTTTTTTTCCCCCCATCTGATTATTTTTCCCCTTTGAAAAAAAAGCCAAAACAAATAGAAGGAGAAACACCAAAGAAAATGGTTCAGATAAAAAGGAGAAGCAGTGTGGTTTGGTGTCAGTATATTTTGGTCTCAATCAACAAATCACTTTAAAAGTTGATTAAACTACTTGTGTGTTTAAAGATAAACATGATTAAGTACTTTGGTGGATCTTGGCTTATTACATATTGAGGCTGGATCCGAGCGTGAGTTGAATCATGGAACGTTTGTGGGGAGATGCAGGTGCACCTTTTGCAAAGTTGCCTTTTCTTTACAACCTCACCCCAAGGATTAAGAAAATCCGAGCGTGGGTCCTCATGCAGCAGGAGGCAGCCCTCCAGTCCAAATGCTATTTTTCCTTTAGGGGTTTAAAGTTCAGTGCTGGTGATACTGGAGTTTTGCAGCCATCATCTTTTCCCTCTGAAGCCTTTTCAGTATTAAAGGTGGCAGTTTTTGACAGGACCTTAAAGCTCATCTCCTTCCACTCCCCTGCCATGGGCAGAGACATTTTCCACTATCCCAGATTGCTGGCCTTGAGCACTTCCAGGGATGAACATCCACAACTTCTCAGGGAAACCTGTTCTAGTGACTCACAGTAAAGAATTTGTTCCTAATATCTGATCTAAATCTGCCTTTTTTCAGCTTAAAACCATTCTGCCTCATCCTATGATTGCATGCCCTTATGAAAAGGATGCTCAAACTCCTGGATGTCTGCTCCATCCTCAACCATTAGTTCCTTGGGCTCTGGGCCATTATTCTTAAATATTCCTCATCAGTATTTTCTTCTCCTTTGAGACAAAATTCATTATTGTTCCGTTGGTGGGTTTTTTTCTGCTTTTTGTTTCTCACCAAAAAGGGCTCCGTAAGGCTGCAGGTTGGTAGGATGAAAACAGCGATTCATTTAGCTGTGGTTGGAGCTTGTAAAAATCCTTATCTCTAGCAGCAGTTGGAATGTAAGATCCCAAAATAGAAGTTGTTAAGCCCTTACAAGTGCAGACAGTTCTTGGGAAAAGAAAGCACAATGAAACACAACTTTGGATCAATAGAAAATCATTTTAGAGCAAGAATACCACGTGTGGCAATGAATGTAGATGGGATTGTTGTTGCTAACCACTTATTAGATAGCAAGCTTTCTGCATGTATTTTGAAGTAGTCTGTGAGTGTGTGCTAAATACAGCATCATCTCTCTTCATGCTTGTCTTGGCTAATGCACCAGTGGTTTAGAAATACTGCGGGACATTTTTATTGAATGAACTCAAAATGCAGTCATTACCCTGGAATTAGGGTGGCAGCTTGTGTGGCTGTTAGATAGGGATCACAAGGGATGGAGTAATTAAGTGTTAAACTAAACTGGTGGCAAACCAAGGACTTGAATCTGGGTTGCTTCTGAATTTCAGGACTGCGTCCTGCATGCCCAGAGCTGCTGTGGGGAACCCTCTGTGTGTAGCTTCTGGTGCAGCCAGGTTTTATCCCAGGTGGAAGTGTTATGCTGGGGATGTGCTTGAACACAGCTGCCTGTTTTCCTACCATCATGTTCTCTGATTGCCCACATTTTGGGTCTGAGTTCACTGTCCAAGCTCTAATCCATTTCCAGTCTCCTGGCTGGAAAAAAATACCTTTCCATATTTCCATCTTGGAGAGCAGCCCAGTGCTTGTTTTGGTGCCCTGCAGGTGCTGGACATGCATCAGGGTAAATCAGGGCCATGCTGAGCTGTTTGCATCCATCTTGTGCATTACCCTGGAGGGCTTCAGTTTGAGTCTTGGCACCTCTGGACCCTCAGTTGCTCCCAGAGGGTGATGTGGGTGTCAGAGGTGGAGAGGCTCTGCCCACAGGAGGTTTTCATGCAGCAGTTTCTCAGCCAGGTCCTCATTTTGGTGAGCACAAAATCCTCGTGGACCAAATGCTGGTTGGATGCCTGAGATGGACATAAACTCTGTGCTTTAGGTATGGTGGGCTTGGTGCTGTAGATGTGTCCTCTAGGACTCAGGTTGTCCTGTCTCTTTCTGTGGCTGGGTTGGCTTGAAAGGAACATAGGACCAGCTAAGTGGACCAAACCCACATGGATGTCTTTCAGATAGATTTTCAGATGTATTGGCTTCTTCTTGGTGTCACCACGTGTTCCTCTTCCCACAGGACCATGCTGATTTGAGAAACCACTTCTTCACTGTGGGGATGAAGCTGGAGGCAGTGAATATGAGGGAGCCATTTCATATCTGTCCTGCATCAGTGACCAAGGTGAGTGCTCAGAAAGGAGGGATGGAAAGAGCTTCTCTGGGAAACCCTTCCCGATTTCCACTACATTTAGGAAAAAATGTAGTGGAAATCAGGAAGTACTTAAAAAAAAAAGAGTGGTACTTAAGTGGCTGGAGAACACATTAAGGAATAGGTTTAAAATCCATGGATGTTCCTAATTAATTCTTTCTTTCCCACAAGCATCAACATCTGATTCCATGCACTTAAAACCAATGGGGATAAGCACATTCATCTACCACTTGCATGGAAAAAAAAAAAAGATCCCTCTTTTGTCTTTATCTCCCCTCCATCCATATGTATTTTCCCTGCCCATCTGAGAAACTTTTGGAAATAAAACAGCTGCATGGAGGTGGTAGCTGGATATTTAATCCACACACTCAAATACAAGACAGAGGAAAGCTCTGGGGTCCTCAGGATCATCTCCAGTTGCTGCTCAGCTGTGGGACCCTGAACCTCAGCACTTTCCATTGCTTCATTTCACCCATCTCTGAAACTCAGGCTTTGATCTCTTGGGTAGAAACACTTTGATGCACAGGTGTTTAGGTGAGAGCAAATTATTTTCAGTTGTTTGATCCCCAAGTTTGGCTGTTTCAGCTTTCCACGTTACCTAATGTTACAGCAAATCTAACCCCTGATTTTGGTCTCTTCTTTTTCACCCCTTAGGTTTTTAACAATCATTATTTACAAGTGACCATTGATGACTTGAGACCTGAACCCAGCAAAATCTCAATGCTTTGCCATGCAGATTCCTTGGGGATCTTGCCAATACAGTGGTGCCTTAAAAACGGAGTCAATCTCACACCTCCCATGGGTTTGTATTCCTTCTCAGTGATTTTTAGGTTTACTCTGAAGCACATTTTCTTGTTATTATTGCCTTTAAAATTGTGTTGGTGGTTGCTGCAGAGCATCAGCTGAAGTATCTCAAGCCAGAGTAGTTCTCTGGAGTGATTGGGGCTGTTCTGGCTCCTACCAGCCCATGAACATCTCAGCAAATGTTTCTTGCTGTTGGATTGATGTCCCTGTGCTTTGAAGTCTGATTAAGGCTTGTGAAATCCTCGTGAATTCCTGTGGGATGAATCCTAGCAGTTCTTTGTGTGTGTAGAGAGCAAAAGGAGCATTAAAAGTCCAATCACTGCAGAGGCAAACCCTGTTTCATCCACATCGGTACAACAGCGAGGCCGAGCAGAGCTCCTAAATCTGAATGTCTGAGCTAAAAACAGCTGCCTGCCCAGGAGTGTGGAGGGATTTCCTTGGCTGTGTCAGCAAATCCCAGGGCACACTGCAGGCAGTGTTCAGGTCACAGCCAGGAGAAACAGCCTCCAGCCCTGCTGTTCCTCAACTTTGTAGCTGTGCAGTTAATTACTCCCAACTTCAGACAACCACCTGTGGTGCTCTAGCAATATTTCTTTGCTTGCAAAATGTGTTGGTTCCCTGGAATTTCAGGTTTTTGAAGCTGGCTGGGTTGTTGGTCTGTAGCCAAAAATCAATGTTGCTTGGGAGTAAGAAAAGCCTCAAAAAAAAAAAAAAAAAAGAAGCTAAGTTGTGTGTATGAACTTTTGCCTTCATTTTGGAAAAAGCATGATGCTGCCAAACCCAGGGAAGGGAAGGGTTATTCCCTACCAGATTCAGAATCCTCTTATCTATATCCAGAGTGCTTCTTCAGCACATGTAATTTGAAATTCCCACCAAAGTCCTGGAGCCCTGTGCCTGCAGCTGCATATGGTGCATCCATGATTGCTCTGCTGCTTCTGCTGAAATAAATCTGCTGTCTGGGGCTTCAGCTCTCTCCTGCTGAAAACCAGGTGTAATGATAATGCCTGTGTAAGCACTCACTGATACTGGCCAGAAAAGTTGCTAGAAATCAAAGTAAATGGAATATTTTGCGGATTTTCCACCCAAATTTACATGCAGTGTGCCCAGGCAGGATAATTAACTGAAGGAGACCATAAGATTAAAAATTTCCAATCCATGCTGACACAAAGCCTGTCTGAGATGGTGGTTTATGGGTCAGGTGTGTGTGAAGTCTATATTAGATGCCAGCATTTGAAGACATATCTGAAGCATCTGTCATGTGAATATTTTTCAACTTGGCCAGGTCTGGTGGGAGGTGTCCCTGCCCATGTCAGAGGGGTGGAACTGGATCATCTTCCATGCCCCTTCCAGCCCAAACCATTGTGATTCTGTGATCTTGTGTGGTGCCTGGTTATTGAGATCCACCTGAGGAGGTGCAGAAAGTCTCTCCTTATTCCTCTGGTGAAAATCAAATTGGCTTTCTGCTCTGAGATCAGAAATCCTGGGGGAAAGCTATTAAAAAGGCAAAAAGCCAGTGGCAGATAGATGAATTCTATGAGTTGCTGTATTTTTTATACTGTGCGTAAAGGCTGCATGTCCAAACTGAATTTTAGCACCTTAAAACTTTTTTCTATGGCAGACACTTTCTTTGAGTTACTAAAATGTAATCAGATATTAGAATGAGTCATTTGAAAATAAGCACAAACTAAACACAACAAAAATCCAAAGACCACTAAAAAAGAAAGCAGATGGAAGGTGAAAAGCATCCAAACCCCTAGTTAATATAGGCTTGACAAGGAAGTTTTCTGATCTCAGAATCAACTGATTTTTTTTGGTCAGAACAATATGTCAGGTTGGGATATTGGAGTTTGGAGTCCTTTATTTGTCTGATATCCATTCTCTTTCCTTTTTGCTTATCGGGGCTTTATTGAAGACAAACAAAGAGTAAATGGGTCATGAACAGGAGGTGCAAATATTTGCTACTTGAAATAGAGAGCAGCATTTTCCTGTACAGTGCCAAAAATGAATACCCATTAACTGCTGCTGTATAAACATTGAACAAGCTCTGTTTATATTTATTAGAGCAGGATTTATAGACCACTTCCCTTTAGAGTAACAATCATTGTTTTATGAGCTATTATTAAGTGGGGAAAAAAAAAAAAATTGATAATGTTCCTTGTTGTAAAGCTTACTAAGGAAAAGCCACTTCCAAAACCTCGTGTGCATTTGTATTATACTTGCTTTGAATTAGCTTCTGATGCTGGGCTCTTCCATGCCCAGAGCTGAGGTGGCCAACATGGTGAAGGTGTTGCATGTTTGAGGGGTTATGCACACACAGCTCTCAGTGCTGTCCCTTGGGCTGAGCCTTCCAGGGTGTGAGTGCTATGTGCTGATGGAGGCCCTGGGCACCTGGTACCTCCCTGTGTGCTGAGGGAGGCAGAGAGGTTGGAAAGGACCTCCAGGCAAGCTGGGCCATCAAGTCCAACCTTTGATGGCCACACTGTCACGCAGACCACAGCACTGAGTTGCTTCTTATCACTTCCACCCCTTCCCTGGGCAGGCCATTCCAATGCCTGACAACCCTTTCAGTGTTAGAAATTCCTCCTAATGTCCACCCTGACCCTCTCCTAGTGCAGCTTAGTGCCTTTCCCTCTCCTCCTATCCCTGTTCCCTGGGAGCACAGCCCGATCCCCCTGGCTGTTCACCTGTGGCATTCAGATTTTCTGAAAAATCCTTTTGCCCAGGATTTTTCTCCTGGGAAGTTGAGAAGCTTCAGAGAAAAAGGAAAACAAATTTTTATCTCATTTGCTTCTCCTGTGTTGTGCTCACATGTGGAATGTGTTTGGAGATTGTTTACCCACAGGTGATTGTTTCATTGGATTCTGCTGTGGGTTGTTTTCACTCTTTGGCCAGTTAGTGCTAAGCTGTGTTGGGACTCTGGAAAGAGTCACGAGTTTTCATTATTATCTTTTTAGCCTTTTGTAAGTATCCTTTCTATATACTTTAATATAATATATTATCATTAAATAATAAATTAGCCTTCTGAGAACCTGGAGTCAGATTCATCATTCCTTCCTTCATTGGGCCATCCTGCAAATACAATAGTCCCCTCCTGTCAGGGACTAGTGCAGAGCCAGGAGTTCCCTCTGAGCCTCCTTTTCTCCAGCCTGAGCCCCTTCCCAGCTGCCTCAGGTTCCCCAGACCCTTCCCAGCTCCCTCAGGTTCCCCAGACCCTTCCCAGCTCCATCCCTTCCCTGGACAGGCCCAGCCCCTCCAAGGCTCTGTGGCCCTGAAGGCCCAGAACCGGCCACAGCCCTCGAGGTGCAGCCTCACCCTGCAAAGGCCACAGACACATCCGGGCTCATGTGAAATCAATTCCTGGGTGTTCTCCTCTTGGAACCCTCCCTGTGCTGCTGCAGAGAGTTAATTTTTACCTCCCCAGCTGCCCTTCCTGGTTCCATTCCTGCTGAAGCCTGAAGGAAAAGGCTTCCAGTGGTTCCAGTGGTGCAGAGCTGAGCGGGGTGGTTGCGTGGTGAAAGCACAATCAAGGTTTTTGTACCTCACTAAAATGATGATCAAGGTTTTTGTACCTCACTAAAACATCTCTAATAGGCCTTTTCCATCCACTCTGACAAGATCTGTGTTGATCAAAATTGAGATGCAAACCCTGTCCATGAGGGGGTTAAATTGGAGATAAAAAAAGAGGTGAAGCGTTGTTACTATGAGGTTTTTTGAAAATTTTTTGTTGCCCAGGATTTTTTCCTGGGAAGCTGAGAAGCCTCAGAGAGGAGTGAAAACAATAATTATCTGATTGCTGCTCCTGTGTTTTGCTGCTTTGGAATGTGGCTTAGACATTGTTTACCAACAGGTGAATGTTTGATTGGTTCTATGTGAATTGTTTTAATTTAATGACCAAATCACAGCCAGCTGTGTCAAGGTTCTGAGGAATTACAGGTTTTTATTATTTATTCTTGTTAAACCTTGTTGATGCATCTTTTTTCTTTCTTTAGTGTAGTTTTAGTATAACATTTTTTAATATAATATAATAATAAATCAGCTTTCTGAAAACAAGAAACCAGATTCTCATCTCTCACCTCATTCTAGAAACCCTCACAAACACCACAAAGTGTGAAGAAAATACTGTTGCAGAAATTGTTAAAAAACAGTGCAAGGATATTTTTTGTATGAAAAAAGAACATTTTTATAAGTAACTACCCTTTTTTCCTTCCCTGTGCATGTTTAGTTTTTTAATTATTATGCACTTTAATGCCCCACAGAGACAGGCATCATAGCTCAAGGCTTTATCTCAGTAATTTGTTTGTCATGAATACAATTACTAGGAATAGAAATCATCTTATCCAAGATACTTGGATCTTAGCAGGATGCTTGGCATGCTGTTTTCAAAAATTTTGCCTCCTTTTTTGGGATCTGGCAGACTGATAGGGGATTATACTCAGTATTCCAGTCCTTGCCTATAAAAAAAAAGCCACAATTTTCATTGTCATAAAAGATTCATTCACATTTGATCTTGAGTGTCCCTTTTTGACTATCAATGCAAAAGGCATTTAGGGATGTTCTGTAAAATGAGGCCAGGCTGAGATTTCTAGGGAGATTGAGGGGAGAATTTGGCCTTTGGGTGACTCCTGAAACTTTCCATAAGAGTAGTTCTGCAGTAATGTCATTAGAGTATCCTCAAGCCCCTGGACAGGATTAGCACTCACTGGTTTCAAGCACTGCAAAAATAGAAACTTAAGAGGAAGGCCAAAAAAAAAAAAGCTCCCAAAAGCAAATGAAAAATCCCCCAAATGTTTCTGTCCCAAGAATTTATTGCCTAAATTGCCAAGTAGGAATAGTGGATGAGCAGAGGTCTGATTTGTCTTTCTATGATGGGACTCCTTGAGAGATGCTCATTTAAAGGAATCCCTTTATTTTACCTAGAAGCAGAGGCTGAAGGGATGATCTGCTTGCTGAGGCTGTTTGAGGGGGATCTGCATTCATTTTCCTGCTCTGCTCCAGATTTCTGTAACATTTTTACTGTGATGGGATTCAGCTCACACCCCCTGAGCTGCTGGGGGGCCACTCAGGAAGGGTACATGAATGAAGAGAGGGGAATTTATCTCCTGCTTTGAAAGGGAGGATTGATCAGCTCCTGATGTGCTGATCCCCTCCCTGTCCATTCCTGAGGGAGCAGCAAATATCCCATGTTCAGCTCCATAACCTTGTCCACCTTTTAGACATCTAAAAGCAAGAGAAAGAAGAAGTCTATAAGTAGCCCTATGTGGAAATTTGGCACAGTGGCACTTGTCATTAGTTATGGGTTTGTTAAAAGTTGGGAGATGCTCACAGAAAAGGGAAAATAGGGGAAATGATTATGTCTTAGTACTTTTTAGTGGAGTCTTGGCAGTGAAATGCAGATGTGTGAGTGGAGGCTGGAAGAGCCATTGGCTCTCATGGTGTGTGACCACAGAATCACAGAATCACAGAATCACAGAATTTCTAGGTTGGAAGAGACCTTTAAGATCATCGAGTCCAACCCATGTTCTAACACCTCAGCTAGATCATGGCACCAAGTGCCACATCCAGTCTTTTTTAAACACATCGAGGGATGGTGACTCCACCACCTCCCTGGGTAGATGATTCCAGTATTTGACCACTCTTTCTGTGAAAAACTTCCTTCTTAATTCCAGCCTGTATCTCCCTTGGTGCAGCTTGAGACTGTGTCCTCTTGTTCTGTCTGTTGTTGCCTGGAGAAAGAGACCGACCCCCAGCTCACCACAGTCACCCTTCAGGAAGCTGAAGAGAGTGATGAGGTCACCTCTGAGTCTCCTTTTCTCCAGGCTGAACAACCCCAGCTCCCTCAGTCGTTCTTCACAGGGCTTGTGTTCCAAACCCCTCACCAGCCTCGTTGCTCTCCTTTGGACACGCTCAAGCATGGGGGCCCTGCAGGGGTCACTGAGGCAGGATGAGATGCTGAAAAACAAATCCTCATCTCCTTGTGGTCTGTTTTGTCCTCTGTGGTGTGGAGTGGTGGCTGATGGCTCTTTTTGTTTTGTTATCCTGCAGGTTACCCTGGCCAGGACTTTGACTGGGCAGACTACCAGAAGCAGTGTGGAGCTGAGGCAGCACCTCACCTGTGCTTTAGAAATGTAAGTTCTTCCTTTTGCTCCTGGCCAGCCATGTGAAACAAAACAGCTTGCACAGAAAAGGTGCTGCAAAGCTTTGAGGGCTTCCTCCCAGAGCACTATGAGGATGCCTTAGGTAGAAAACTGGGGGAATCTTCCAGGTTTCCATCCCTAAAAGAGAAAAAACTTATTTTAGTCTTGTCTTTATCTGTAATTATCCTGCTCTTCATCCCCTCCCTGGTTTTGTACAGCACTAAAAGGATCTCAACTGGTTATTACTATTAATTCAAGTGCTACTAAAAATAATTCAGGTAAAGAAGTTGCACAGTATCATTTGTCCCTTTTTACATTTTAGGTGTTCTCTCTGTATCCCAGGGATACAGAGAAACCAAACCACATGTATTAAAATGCTAAATGTTGAAAATGAAGGAGAGGATGATTAACCCTCATGGATGCTCTGGTCCTTGGAACAGTTCATGTCCCTCCTTGATGCTGAAATAGTGATGTGAGAGTGATGGATGCCATTAAGATTCACAGCTTTTGAAATAATCTTTTGCAGGCTGTTTTATGGCAGTGACAGTCCTGTGTGGCTTGATCTGACAGATATTCATTGCTTGGGGAAAGGCAGATGTAGCCTTCTGCCTTTCCCAGCAACCTGGTGCTCTCCTTCATGTGCCCATCAGCTGATGAAGGTTGAGATGCCATCAGTAACTGAAAATACTCCTGATGGTGGTACCTAAATGTTAGTGGTGCACCTAAAATGAGCACAGAAAGCTTTGCAAAATGAAGTTATGTGGTGAATGATGGACAGACAGGTTTCTGTAGGAATGTTACAGAAAGTCACAGGACTGAGGGATGTGGTATTTATGGAAAGCAGAATGGAGACAGGCACCAGCTGTGGTTTTCCATGGCTTTCCTCGTCTGTGGTGGCCTAGGGGCAGCCTGGCTTGGAAGCTTTGATGGTGAATTAGTGAATTTTTTATTGATGAACTCACAGGAACTGTGCCATGAGCAGAGTCTGACTTGGGCGTCAAACCAGAGTAAGGATTTCTTTGCCCAATAGAGGCTGTCTCCCTGAAGGGACTTAAAGCAAAGATTTCCAGCAGTCCTGAGGGAAGCTGGACAGTGATGCATCACACCAATACAGTGGGGCTATTTTTGCATTTCCCTTCTGCAAGCATCCCCACCTTTCCTTTATATCTCTTTTCATTTTGCCAACTAGTGGATCTCTTCTCTCAGCTGTGGCAGCCTTGAGAAAAGTCTCTGCATAATATCCTCTAAGATTAAGTCAGGTCTGGGCATTTTTTGGTCCTTCTTTTTTTGTTTTTAAGGAAACATTCACCAGATGAACATGTGTCTCTTATTCTTCCACTCTCAGTAACACAATTCTTTTCAGAAGGAGCTGCTCTGCTTTCACTTGTGCAGCCTCCTGGCTGGCTGGTCCCCTTGAATTGTGGCTGTGAGGGGCTCTTTGATGGAAGCTTTCTTTGCATCTCCCACCTCGTGCAGCCAGACGTGGTGCTGGCACTGGAGGTGCTGTAGCTGTTTCCCCAGGAGGGATTTTTTAACAAGGAGAGGCAGTTGTGGAATGGATTGACGTGCCCAAATGCTTAGTAAAATAAACTCCACCTAACTGTTTTGCCATTGATTCTGTATAAATGAGCCTCCAGCACCGAACTGCAATGAAAGGAGCCAGGGTGATGATGAATGGCATTTCCTTGTTAGGCAACATAAAAGGCATTTTAACAAACTCAGCAGCTTTTGCAGGGTGAAGCTGATCTGTGTGCTGAGCAAGGCTTGAGGCAGTCCAAGGTGTGCTTGAGAGCAGCAGAATGTTCTAGGATGGAAAAGAGACCAAAGCCATGAGTTTTTAGTCTCTCAGAGAGCTCTCAGTGGTTGTTCAAGGTGAAGTGCCCATGGTCCTTGGTGTTGTAGCAATGGGAGAAGGGTTGAATTTGAGCCTGGCTTCCAGTTTCTCACATAGGATGAGGGTTTGGTGTCATTTTGAGTCAGTGGCAATTATTACCCATCCCAATTATTATCAGTAAAAAAATCTCATTTCAGAGAGGGAACACTTTCTGTGCTACTGTGTGCAGAGAGATGCAGAGCAGGTGGAACAGAGGGGGGGGAAATCCAAGGAGAGGAAGCCCTGGTATGGACACAGGTGTTGCATTAGTGTGTTTTCAGGGAGAGTGGTGGGGGAAAAACTGGGAAGGGGCTGAGAATAAATGACAGGAGGGGACATTGGAAGGAACAGTGGCAATGAGCACATCTGGATCCATCTACACTCCAGCCAATGTACCTGAAATCCTTGTTCATTGAGCTTAAAACAGAATCACAGGATGGTTTGGGTTGGAAGGGTCATTAAAGACTGTCTAGCTCCAGTCCCCCCATCCCATGGGCACTGCTGCCATCCTCTAGATTGGTTGCTCAGAGGTCCACCATGAAAATTCCATGAAGAAAAGCACACTTGAAAAGGTTACTCAGATATCTTCAGCTCCAGTCAGCTTGGGTGACTGAATGCTTGACGAGGTTTCTCTGGTCTCAGGCAAGGTGGTTTTTTGCTTTGTAAAGTTTCTCCTAGCAAGGTGAGAGATGCTTAAGCACTGGAGTTCTAGGAACCCTCTGGGTAGTATCACATTAACAGAAAATGATCATTAGCAAACATTCAGACATCCTTGGAGCTGATGTGGAGCAGCTTCCTCCCAGTCCCCTCAGAGTCAGGGATAGGAGTAGAGCATGACATGCATTTCATCACTGAGTTTTCAATGGGTGCTGGTGCAAACCTGCTCCTGCATGGGCTCCTCTCTCCAGGGTCACAGCCTCCTCTGGGTGTCCATCTCCTGTGACAGGGATACTCAGGGGCAGCAGTCTCTACTCCCCTGCAGACCCCCATGTGCTGCAGGGGCACAGCTGCCTCACCCTGGGCTGCACCAGCACAGCTCTGATTTGGCTCTGGATGCCTTTGCATTCTTCAGGGAATCCTGCCCTTCCAGCAGAAAGCAAACCATGCTAAATTTATGCTTCCCAGCACACAGTGTGGTTGAAGTTGTGTAGTGCTGCAGTGCCATGTTTCAGCGTTGTCTCTTGCCTCTTTTCAGACATCCTTCAGCCGTGGCTTCACCAAGAACATGAAGCTGGAGGCAGTGAACCCCAGGAACCCTGCAGAGATTTGTGTGGCTTCCATCACCTCGGTGAAAGGACGGCTGATGTGGCTGCACCTGGAAGGTACCTGCTCTAAGGGCTGCTTGTGTTTGTCTGCTGCACTCACTCTCTCACTCTCTCACTCACTCTCTCTCTCACTCACTCACTCACTATTTCATTCTCACTCTCTCACTCTCTTAATTTTATCCTTCATCCTCTGCACAAAATTGCTCTCTTCAACTTTCCAATTTTGTACATACTGACCAGTTATGTTTTCTGAGGAATTACATTTACCTGCTCTTTCTCTGGGGCAGCTGCAAGTTCCTTCACCCTTCCATCCACATGGTCTTTATCACCATGATGACAGCCTCCTCCCTGCCACCATCATGCACCCTCATCCTAGGAATAGAAGTTTGCCTCACTTGTGCAGCTGAGACTTCTACAGTAGTTCCCAAGCTGACAGTTTGTACAGGAGGAGAGGTCTCTAATCAAAGCCCTTAAAGTTGGTAAAAACATTGCCAGGTAACCCAAAATATTGTAATTCCTCGCAAGTGTTTGCTTTTGGTAGAGCTGTGTGCAAGGGCAGGTTTTGGTTTTTGAACTCTAAGATTGTTTGCCTTCTAGCTCAAGGTAGCAAAAGCTTATCTGGAGCCTGGTCTGGACACAGGGCAAATATTATTTTTTAATTGCTGGAATCAACAATTGTTTGAAATTTCATTCCCACTGAGGCTGTTGTTGAATTTACACCCATCTGATCAGGGAATTTGACCCATTTTGGGGACTTCTTTTCTTAAATGACCAGGTGTCTTCACTTGTATATGCCAAAGATGTGGATAGATGCAGGAAGAGAGCAACACACTCCCAAGTTGCTTCCTTCCCTCATCTCTTTCTTCCTGCCTCTTACTCTCTTAATTTCTTAAAGCATGTTTTTTTACAGCTTACCATAAAAAAGCCCTGTGCACATCTACTTTCTTTTGAGTTCTGATATATAGGTGCTTTAAGCTTGGTTTATATCTCAGTACCAGGAATTGAATGATCTGTCGTAAACAGAAAAGATGCAAAAGACTGCAGAAAACAGAGAGAAATCTTTGCTGCTCTAGGAATACATCACTACAGTATGCACAGTGTTATGCAAAAAGCAGGCATTAAAAAAAAAAAAACCACAGCCAACTGCTTGCAGAGTTGTAAAATAAATGTGGCTTGAAGTGAGGCATGGGGTTTTTTTTTTTACTCCATAAATATAGTGTTGTTTCTAACTGATTATTTATATTCTGGAAGCAGCAAGGCTCCCCAGTTCCACAGGAGCCCCTCACTGAAGACCTCAGGTCCCACCATTTATCACAGGCGCCTCTGCAGCTTTCATGGTTGCCCTCCCAGTTTCCCAGTTGGACAGCCCAGGCTGCAGCCATAAACCAGGAGCACAGGAGTTAAGCAGGGCTGAGTTAGACAGGGCTGAGTTAGGAGCACTGTGTGATAAATCACACTTTGTACAGTAGCAAAACCCTGAACTCGAAGGAGAGCGTTTAATGAGCAGCAGTGCGGTTCCCCCGTGGTGGAGGAGAAGCTCAGGACTGATGGGATGCTCTGTGCTCTCTGCTACTTTATTACTCATCATCTGCATTGTTAATTTTTACTGGTTCATTTTAAATTTTAGAGCTTGAAGCTTTCTGGTGTGAATTTATACAAGTAATAATGCACGCTCCCTGCACAGCCCAGGAATTTGAGGAAAACCCTTTGGTTAATCACTTCTCCAGGGAGGTTTCCTGTAATTTCCCCTTCTGCAGTTTTCTGGAGTTGCTGCTCTGTTCTACCCATCCTGTAAAATTCATAGTAGACATTTTCCTCACCCTGTTTCCAGTCTCCTTGTTTTCCCTTTAACCTCCCAATTCCCACGGACATTTCTTGCTCTGAGAAGAGAGCGGCATAAAACGCAACAGATGAAACTAATGAGTCTCAGAAAAGCTGTTTTCCACTCCTGTGAGTGAGGCCAAAGGAAGCAGTCAGATGTTGGAAGTGGAAAGCAGGGTTATCAATTGCCAGAGGGCAGAAGCAGTGCCAGGGAGGACAGAGGAGCTGTGAATATGTCTTACAAGAGGAACAAAAGTGTTGCAGGAGAACGGGCATTGTGCTGCTTTCTTGCTCCTCAGGGTGACTGCAGCTGTAAACTTCAGAAGCAGAATGTTCATAGAACCACTTTGGTTGGAAAAGACCCTTCATGTCTCATTTATTGTTGCTTGTAAGCAGGAGAGTACGTTTCATCTGGTTACTTTATAATAATTTTGAGCTGTAGAATAATTAAGATTGGAAAGGACCTCTAAAAGAAATGAGTCTGTTTTGTCAGAATAACACCATCACAATAATGAAGCAATTGGTTTTCCCAGATCTTGTGACATTTCAGTGGGGTCTGTGTTGATTTCTTGCTCTGTTTAGGGCTTGATCCATGGCTTGCTCACTGTGTGCATGTCTTGCCACTGACTCACTGTTGTCACATGGGCTCCTTGCCTGGATTTGTGGTGTCAGGTGGAAATGGAGCTCCCCACTGGAGCTTTCATCAGGTTCAAACTGAGCAGTGACCATGTGGTATTATCTTGTGGAGGGAAATGGTTTTTCAGGGAATTTCAGCAGCAAATACAAGATTTCAGCTGAAATCTTGTGTTCAGCAAATTGTGTCCTTGCCCTATGCCTTCATCCCATTCTCTTCCCCCTACTCCAGTGTGTATTTTCAATGGATAGTGCATGAACACAATGCAGGGCTCAGGGGAACACCATGAGGACATCCATGGATCTACATAGACATCCTAATTGCATTTTTTTCATTATTTCCTCCAGCAGTGTTCACCTATTTCCCTGCCTCCTTTGAGGAGGAGGCTTTTTTCTGCAGCCACACACTCTGAGAGCAGCAGGTTTATTACTGATCCAAATGCTGCACCTCAGCCTCAGTGCAGTTCCCATCACAAAGTTCAATTACTGTTTCAATTACACCACAAGCCCTTGATGAGCACACATTAGTGGCAAGCTCCCTGTAGTCCTCTGGCTGTGCACAGTCAAACACTTGCTGCCTTTAGCAGGAGGCAAAGATGTTCTGACAGATGCCAAGGCAAGGGTGATGCAGGGGGAGCTGCTGATCCTTTGGTCCCTTTCATTAGGAGATCACCCCATGCTGGTGCTGGAGCTGTCTCTCCTGGGGTGGAATTGGCAGAGGGAGGAGGTGAAGTTGCTGGCCCAGCTGTACCAGCAACTTGAACTTGAATTGGAGTATTTAAATGGTGCAATGACTCAGGACACAAGGGTTGCTTTAGAAAGAACTCAAAGCCAGCAGGAATATCTTCATTGGATTTTAAGTGGACATCAGGTAAATTAGGGAAAAAAAAGTAGGAAAAATTCCCTTCTTTGAATGGGTGGTCAAGCATTTTAACACGTTTCCCAGGGTAGTGGTGGAATAATGTCTCTGGAAGTGTTCAAAAGTCATGTAGATGTGGTGCTGAGAGACATGGGTTAGTGGTGGGCCTGCCAGTGATGGGTTAGTGGTTGGGCTTGATGATCTTGGAGGTCTTTTCCAACCTAAATAATTCTTTTGTTCTGTGAGTGGGACCCACATCAATGAGGACAGGAGGTTGTCTTCTAGAGGAGGTGTATAACCAAACTGGAAGATAATTGCTTTAACTAGAGACTTCAGGTGAAGTTTTGGAGTCAGCATTGTGACAGAGACCTTGGTGCATGTGTCCCACTTGGGATTTTTATATTTCTTCTCTCCTGTTGGGTGATCAGCTCTTGTTTCATGTGAGGAACTCTAGGAGAATTCATGGCACTTGAGGACAGAAGAGTGGGTACCTCTCCCCCTTAAAAAATGGGACTCAAGGGCAGAGCTGCTCAAAAAAGCTTCAGGGAAGCACTGGAACATCAAAGCCTCTGGGATACACTCTCCTACCATTAAGATCAGGCATTCAACAAGTCCTTCTAACTCAGTTATGCAACTTCACAAAATATCCAGGGGTCAGCCGGGCTACCTTGTTGAGGGAAGTTGCATATGTTTAACCTCCCTGGCTTTTGGCTGCTTCACTGCACACCCTCAAAGTGCTCTTAATGGGGTTTTCCTCTGAACCACATTGCACTGTAAATGCAGCAGCCTCATCCTTCCTGTCTGTGCAGAACTAAAGATGAAATGGGGCCTGATTGGGGTGCAGGGGAGCAGATTTATTTTCACATGTTCCATCATTCGCTTCTCCAGGCTCGTAATGGATGCTTGGATGGCTCTGGGCTTGGTGTTACCGTGCCTAAATCCCATTATAAATTTCTGTTTATAGGTTCACAGATGCCCTCTCCAGAGTACATTGTTGATGTGGAGTCCATGGACATTTTCCCTGTTGGCTGGTGTGAAGCAAATGCTTATAACCTCACCCCACCACACAAAGCTGTTTGTAAGTACATGGATGGAGACCTGAGCAGTGCAGATGATACCAGGGATTTTTCCTAAGGTCTCTAATCCCATTTTTGACACTATCAACCTACTCAGGAGACCAATAACCAGGCTATTTACAGTACACAACCAAGTGTACACAACCAAGTGTACTTCAATAAATCATAATAAATCTAATTAGTGACCAGACTGGAATTATACAGTTTGTATTTTTCTCTGTGATCAGCCCCTCCAAAAATGGAGTTGTCTGTGCTGGGGGAGGCTGTTCCATGGTTTGGGATTGCAGAGGGGGTTGTGGGTTTGCAGAGGGGCTGTTGGTCAGGGGGGTTGTCAGAGTTGTGCTGAGCCAGGTTCACTCAGGCAGCTGAGTGGATTAGGGACAAAGTCCTCAGATTTAAAAAAGAAACTCCATAAAATGTCAGGTAGAATGGATATACAGAGGCCATCCAGGTGCCCCTTTCCCAAACAGGATCTGCTTCATCTAAATGGAGAAATAATTGCTGCCATTCTGTGATGGAATTTCTGCCCTTTCCCAGGGCATCTGTCCCTTATTTCACTGCCCTTGCCAGCTCAGAGATTTTCCTTGTGTTCAGTTTAAATTCCCCCTCAGCACAATTAAGCCCACAGTGTTTTGTCCTGCCTCCAGTGCATATTAAGACAAATTTCTTTCCTTTCTATTTGCATTTGAAGGCAGTTCATGAGAAACTTGGTGTTGTTCTCCTGTTCCAATATATCCAATCTCAAGCCACCATGTGAAAAATTGGCCTCATTGTTTATATTAATTAACATCTGAAAGGCAAATTTTAAAATGTATCTTCCCTTCTGAAGAGTTAAATATGCTTAAGTTAAAAATCAGGCAGCCAGAGCCTAATTTAGGAGAATACTGCTATGGCAACATTATGCAGCCTTATCACAAGTTATTGCTGGGGATAAATTATGCTGGAGGTAATCATGCTTGTAAAATGTAATCTTATCCATATGTGGTTCTGTATGGAAAAATATTTGTGTTTTTATTTTAATTTTTTTCTTTTATGCTGATCCCATAAAACACAATATTAGCATTCCAGAGGAAAGATTAAATGTATTATTACATCCTTAAAGTAGGTTTTAATGATGTAGTGACTTACTTAAAAAATACCAAGAAAAGATGGTGATAGTAATTAAGTACCATTTCATTGTGTTCAAAGTCATTTTATAGTCAGTGCATTTACACAGCTTTTTTATGCATTCTGGGTGTACTTAACAGGACAGAAGGGGACAAAACTATTTTTTTCTTTCTTGCTTCATTTTTGCAGTGCGAAGGAAGAGGAGAATTGCAGTTGTGCAGCCAGAAAAACAGTAAGTTGTTTTGGGTTTTTTTGTTATTTAAGGTGGTGTTTTCACAGGAATGCATCAGGTCTTCCAGGGGGGATAATACACAGCAGCTGTGTGGCTCAGTAACTACTGCTCAGATACTGCAGCACAGCCAGCAAGAGGATTCTTTGAAGTCTGAAATATTTGTTAGCATATTAGAAAGTCTCTGTAACAGCAATTTTTTGTTGGCTGGGGCTGTGCAGCCCCTGTCTGATGGCCATCAAGGGATGCTTATGGAAGATGGACATATACCAGGAGGGCATTTCCCTGTCTAGCTCTTGCAGTTTGTAGAAACCTGAATTTAAGGGGTTTAAGGCAGGATATTTGGAGCCTGGAGGTCTAAAGCTGACACATCAGAGTGTATTTTCAGAGAAGGGGTGGATCTGGCTCCTTCATCTGCAGTACCCTGGTCTGTGATCAGCCATGGCAAAGTGGAATTGTGTTGGAGGTATCTCTGTTCCCCATACCAGGCTGTTGCTGGTGTAGCTTTTGGTCCAGCCTGGGGGCTGCTTCTGGCCCTTTGTCCTGTCTGATGCTATTAAATACTCCAAATACTCTATGAAATGCACCCCATTTCTCTTTTAACAGGTTACCATCCACAGTGCCTGTTGAGAAAATACCTCATGACCTCTGCCCAGTTCCTCAGCTAGACACAACAGGTAAGGATCCTTATTTCAAAGAGCCATGTTCCCAAATGGAAGGGGAGGACCCCAGAAAGGCAGTGAGTTCTCATGGGGGTGGGGAGATGGAACCACATCCTCAGGGGCTGTAAGGTGGAGTGAACCCACCTGAGGCACCCCAGGTGAGGGTCTGTTTCTCCACATGTCCTGCTGGGGCTGTCAGAGTTCCCCTGGAGCCTGCCCATTGCAGATGTTGATGTTAAGACAAGGCTAATGACTCTCTCTGGTGGAGATGGGTGCAGGTTGTTGATTGACACTGATGAAATTGGGTACAGCAGGACCCGATGGGTCCCCTCTCTTAGGTCAGGACTGTGTGGTGTGGCTGCTGCTTCTGCTGAAGGCAAATTCCTCTCCCCTTTAGCAGTGGCAGGAGGCTCTGAGTGCAATATTGATCCAATTGATGGTGTGAACCCAGCAGCAGGGACAGGATTTAACTCACTTTATTTCAGCAGGCTGTGGGACACATATTGGCATTGCAGCCAACACCCCATTACAGTCAAATGGGGAGAATCAGGGTCCTTTTGGGTATGATAACCAAAAAAAGTGGATAACCACTTGGAAGGCATGTGAGCCACATCTAAAAGTTCCCATTTCTCTCCATGGTCTATGGAGGAGCCCAGACAAGGAAAACTGCTCTGTAGACCCTTGCTGGGTCAGGGAATGGCACTGCAGGACTTGTGAGGTTGGACAGGAGCTGAGGAGGGGTTTCTGAGGCTCTTTCTTCACTGGGAGAATGTTCTCCCTGAGCTGACTGCCTGTCTGTGAGGCTCAGCTCGTGCATCCCCTCCTGGCAGGTTGCAGTGTCCCCCTGCACTGTCAGTTGTGGGACAGCCCTGGCTCCTGTCGTGGATTAACTCCTTTCCCAGTCCTCCTTTCAGCAGGGTGTGCAGATAAATCAGTCACTATCAAAACCACCTCATTTTCCCATGCTGGAGGGATTTGAATAGCAGAGGCTTCCCTACCCTCTATTTTGTGCCTCCTTTATTCTCCTCCCCTTCCTCCCACATCCAGGAGGAAGAAGTGTGGAAAATAGAAGAATAGAAACTTCCACAGGCACAGGAGGGTTTAATTTACAGCCTTGGAAGAGGCTTGAATTGATGTAAAAACAAAGTACACAGACATTAAACAGAAAAATCATAAACTCATGTTCTATAGTTATAAGTAAGAATATGCTTCAAGTGGGAAACTATTGATGAAGGGTTTATAATATAAGGGTGTAATTGTATAGAATAAGCTAAGAGTTTAGAAGTTACATTAAAAGCATATGTGTGTACATGTGATTGCAACCCATTAGATGAAAGTATACACATTACAGTAGAAGTAAGTAAAGGTGATAAATTAGAAAAACAAAACAAACTTTGTGGCAACTATCCATTAGATTAGAAAGTTATATATTATCTTGTAAGGAAAAACTTGAGACCATTTTGAGCTATAGCTGACTACTTATTCTCTTAAATCTCACAGCCTCTAAGATTGATACTTATTTAAACAATAAATTGTTTTTAACCCAACTGTAGCCCCATCCCTTGAATTAAAACAATGATAATAACAAAGAATTGCCCTTGATTTATGATATATGAGTGCTGCAGGCACCTCACTGCTGCTTTCTCCTTGCAGGCACCATCAATGGGAGGTACTGCTGCCCCCAGCTCTACATCAACCACCGCTGCTTCTCAGGTCCATATTTAAACAAAGGCAGGATTGCAGAGCTACCTCAGTCTGTGGGGCCTGGCAAGTGTGTGCTGGTCCTCAAGGAGGTATGGCCCAGCTCTCTTTTGGGGGGGATGTCAGAGGAAAGGATGGGTCATGGCTTGCCACACCCAGAATTTGCAAACAATACACTTAAAATTGTCCTGGAGTGGTTTCCATGAGGCAAAACTGCAAGCCAGGAAGAAGGGGCAGGTTTTGCATTGTGGATTTTGATGGGAGAGCTGGTATTTTTGAAACATGGGGAGTTCTTTTGGTTGGTAGCAACTTCAGTGTGGGTTGCCATCAACACAGGAGCAAACAGCAGTGTCATGGAGACATGGGCATCTCTTTTTGGAGACATAAACAATTTCCCAAGGAGCAGGACAATGGCAGTGGTCCAGCATTGGTCCCTGTTACTTTGCAGAAAATATTCAAGCTTATTATGGCCATAAGCTCAAGCTCATTCTGCCCATGGGAACCAGTTCCAAATTCTGGGAAGGGTGAAAAGAAAACATTCAGGGTGTTGCTGTACCTGATTCCTGGTAGCTGTTGCTGAGATGTGAGAGATGCCAGCAGCATGGAGAGCCATGGGCAGGATGGAGGTGAAAAAATTGCAGCACAATTGAAGTTCCTGATGTTCCTCAGCCCTTTCCACCCAAGGCTTGTCCTTACCTCCACCACTGATGCAGTGAAGCCTTATCCTGTGTGTGTACCCTTGAATCCCAAAGTTTTAGGTGAGTTACAAGTAACTCTTGTGCAGTTCAGTACCAAACTTGTTTTTACAGCCTTGCTGTTCATTATTCCCAGTGCCAGCACAGGTTTTCTGCTGGGACCACTGGTTTATTGTGGTTTCTTTCACTGGAAGAGGCAAGTGAGGTGGCAATGCCTGTTGTTTGACATCAGCTGCAAAGTTTGTCTCATTTCTGAAGTATTTTCTTGGTAAACAAGTTGAAACCTGGAGCCAAATACAATGGAGACATCAGCTACTGCCATCCAGCCATTGCACCTGGGCTGAAAAGTGGTGACTGTAAGGTAGTTGTATGTAATAAAGGCTGACTTGAAGTTAAATTAAAATAAACACATTGTCAGCTTTAGTTTTAGTACTGGGGTCAGAATATCTAAGAAGCACAAACAGTTCTTCATATGTGCCAAGAACTCCTCAGCAACCTTGTAAAATAAAACAAGGTGTCTAAGTTCTTAAGACTCCAGGTGATCTATAACCTCCCCATATTTTAGAGAAATATGCTGTAAAGATTAATTGGTTTCATTGCTTACTGCTCTTACTGTTTTTAAGACACTTTGCTCTTTGTCTATTTAAAAAGAAAATGGACCATGACATAAGATGCCTTTTAGATCCTTGATGATCTAATGAAAGAATCCCAGATAACTCTTCTGCTCCCCTCTCTCTGTCCCACAGACACATCAGTATTCCAAGTTAAAAAAATAAGTTTACTGCCCTGCTTTGAGGCCACCCTGGGATTTAGCATCTTTTATTAGGTAGGAATGTGGGATTATAACTCAGATAGAGGAAGGAAAACGAGTTTTTCCTCATAAGAATGCTGATCATTGAGGTCTTGAATAGGAGAAAAGAGTTGTGATCATATTTTTTAGCTGTACCTTGTCAGTGATATCTCCTAAGAAAACTTCATCCATCTCAAAACTTGAGACTGTTTCAAGGGGGATGGAGATGGGAAATGTGTGAGCACCAGAGAGCTGTCATGGGAAGAAAAGTGCTGAACTGCCCAGTGGCATCAGGCACACCAGATATACTCAAAAAAGAGCCCCTGTGCACATGGAAGTACATGACATGGAGAACTTTATGAATACCAGGGGCTTGTGAGGTGGGGCAGGGGCTTGTGATGGTGCTGCCTGATGATGTTCACTGGTGTGACTCCAGCTCAGTCAGCTCTGAAAATCCAAAGGCAAGCAGCATCAATATAAAACCTCACTGATGGACAACAGCAAAGGCTGAGCTTGCCTAATCCCCCCTGTGCTCCAAGGCACCCAAACCAATCCTGATGCTGAGGGCTGAAATTCAACCACCAAAATCTCCTACTGGTCACGCTCCAGCCAAAGGAAATTTGACTTGTCTGAGATGGTTGATGTAATTTTCCATCTCCAGAGAAAGTTGGAAACTGGTCTAGGTTTCTTCACTGGTTTTGTTTAAATCACAGTTAATTTTCTTTTCCAAAATTCTGTTTGTTTGCATTTAATAGAGTGCAATATGAAGTGATAGTGTTGCTAGAAGGTACCACTGTTACTATGATGATGGACCTTTGCTGTAGGGTAAAATGCCAAACCCAGTGACTCACATGAGATACAAGAAGAGTAAAAGCCAGAGGTTTTAAATTTTAAGACCAGAGGTTTTAATTTCTTTTTTTTTTTCCTTCTGTGAAAAGGAAATAATTGTTCTTACAAAACACTCATTTTTTTGAACTGAGTGTAGAACTTTGCAGAGTCCTGCTGGTGACAAGCCAGCTTTGAGAAAAGTCCTGGCACTGTGGGTGCCTGTGCAGGGCTGCAGTTGATTAGGTGTCTGGGAGAACGCCCAGACAGGGCCACACTGGTACTGCAGGGTTGGGTTTTCTTTTCTTGCTCGTTTCCCAGCTATTCTGACAACTCATGCAAGCACCATTTCACTGGTGAGGGGGCAGGACAGCACTGCTGGTGGAAATTGGTCAGCAAGGTGCCCCAGCAGCCAGTGGGGTGGGTGTAGGGGTGTGCTCAAGGAGAGCTTTGCCAACAAACTCCTGTACAGGGGTTAAATAACTCCCTGGGTTTGCTGATCAAGGCACCTGATGAGCTGTGAACGAGTGTGGCAGCCCCCCAGGCACTTGATGTTTTTGAAAACCCACTTCTGGCTTCCTCATATCAAGTATCAGAGTCCAGTGCTTCTCAGTTTGTGTGGGGAGAGACCAGCAAGAGAGATGTGGGTGAGCAGCTGGAAGGGCTCACTCAGAAATTGTCATTTCATAGCATTTTAAATGGTTTGGGTTGTCTGGGACCATAAAGATCACCCAGGGCCAGCCCCTGCCATGGGCAGGGACATCTTGCACTATCCCAGGGTGCTCCAAGCCCTGTCCAGCCTGGCCTTGGACACTTCAGGGATCCAGGGGCAGCCACAGCTGCTCTGGGCACCCTGTGCCAGGGCCTGCCCACCCTCACAGGGAAGCATTTCTTCCTCATATCCACTCTAAATCTACGCTCTGTCAGTGTTTGGTGTCTCTAATTGGACTTTTTTGAAGAGTGGTTTGAGTTATGTTTCCAAGGGCCCAATGATAAATTAAATTTTGCTTCTAGTAAATAACCTATCCAAGCAACTCCAGCCAGTGCCATTTTACAGAGTGCTCTGCAGCATTAAGTGAAGCCCTTGCCTGAAAATGATTAATCCTGTAGGGTTTTCAAAATGCTAGCAAATCCTCAGGTTGCTGGATTTAGAGGGGGAAAAAAAAACCAACCCAGAAAAAACCAACCAAACAAACATAAACACATTGGTCACTGCAGTATGACCTAGTTATTTTTTCATTTCTGATGAACTCTGTTCATGGTTGCTGGATAAACTTCATGTTCATCAATCTGAAATCATTTTGCAGGCCCCCAAGGAATTAAGAACAGGCGTTAGGTAACGAGCTAAATTAGATGAAAACCAATCCAGATTCACTGTGGGATCACTCATGTGCATACAATGCAGAGTGTTCAAACACACAGTCTGATGCTGTTAAGAGATTTGTTTTCCTTGTGTTTATCTCCCTATGCCAAGGGTAGGCTATTAAAGCTTGGATTTCCTGAGCCAATAGCAAGAATCATTTTTATTCTCACTGACTTTGGATTAAAAGGATTGGCACATGTGTTCTCTGGTACAGAGTGGACACACACTGGGCTCCAGGCACACCTCCTGCAAACTCTTTTTGTGGAGACTTCATTGCTATTCTGTTAATACAGTCAAGGCACACAGCTCTCAGGCTCTTCAGCACATTGCTGACCTCTAATGTGTGAATTTCCCCTTCAGTGTTCACTGTGGTGGTGCATGTGGCCTGTACCTGGTTGTGCCTTTATTTCTGCTTTCATTTTTTTTATTAAACTGGTCCATGATGGGTGTGCAGTCTGTGCAATCTGCTTTGGGTGAGAGGGTTTTCCACAAAGACAAAATCAGCGGTTAGCAGATTTTTGGGGTTGAACAGAAGCATTTAATGCAGTTACCTTTTCAGACTCAGGTGTTATCCATGGTATGGCAACAATTATATATTCTGGGACCCCTCCTCCCTTCATCCAGCACTTAACCTGTGCAGCCAGGACAGAAACAAGCACCTGCAAGCTGTTCCTGCCTGTGCAGCACCTGTGTGGTCAAGGACTGCTTTTAAAGCCATCATTGTTGCTGGTTTTATCTCCCCATAGGTTCTCAGCATGGTGATCAATGCAGCTTACAAGCCAGGGAGTGTTTTACGAGAACTGCAGCTTGTGGAGGACCCTCAGTGGAATTTCCAGGAGGAAACACTTAAAGCAAAGTAAGTCTTCAATGTGTGTTCTTTTATTTGGGAGGTTTCAGAAAGGAAACTGACTGGGGGAAAAAAGAAGAAAAGGGCTTTTCCTATTGTGAGAGTTTTACTTTTCTAATTATCGTTTTGCTTCATTGAATTATTTGACTCATTCCATAGCAACTTCAGAAATGAAATATTCACCTGAACAGTTCATTTCTTTTGTCTTTCTCCAAGCAGCCATCCAGTTTTTGATGAAGTCAAGTCCTGAGTTTTATGATAAGCTGTTCTTATAAGCTTGGCTATTACTGAATGAACTAAATTCCCAGGTTTCTAGATGGAGGAGTATGGCTGCTTTTAAATTAGAGCCTGTCAGGGTAATCCAGAAAAAACTGGTGAGAATGAGTGGCACCAAAAAAAGTTCAAGCAGATTAGCAGGGACACATTTTTTAGCAGGAGTGTGATTAGGGCAAAGTAGTAACAGATCAGAGATTCAGGTCAAGATTTGATGCCTTTCTAGAAAATATTCTTCAATTCTCTTCTAAACAGCACCAAAGAATACTGAATTCCTCCTTCCAGCATTAAAATCTACCTGTTTATGTCTTCTTTATGTAATGGGCGCTATACTTAGGATGTATTTCAACAATTGTTGCCTCTCTGAGAGAGGGGAGTCTTATGACTAAGCTCTCTCCAGAGTCCTTCTGAAGAATAATTCTTCCCACTTGAAGATGGATCTCAATAAATATTTCTTTGAAGAAAGCTTTCTTTGTTGACTAATGGTCACCTTAACTTTTTAAGTGCTGTAGTTAAATGCAGTGAATCTCACCCTTTGTACTGAACTCTGTAACTCCTTTTCAAAGAAAAGCAATTTTCTCTGGGTTATTTGATATGAATAGCTGCCAAACACAGCACTATTGATGGCTACTGTATTTGCTCTTTGCCCATGCAGGTATTGCAGAGAGTTCATGTGTTCTGTGGTTGAGGGAGGGACTTGAGAAACTTTTACTCTGTGTACACTTAAACTGCTTTCCTGAAGGAGGATTGCAAACTGAAATGGAGATCTGCTAAAAACATCCTATTTTTAATTTGCTGCTTTCACCCATGTGGAGTGTTGGGCTTTTGTGTTTGTTGTGGATGGAAGTCTAAAAGTCAACTTTGTGCATGCAGATTTTCATTTAAAACAGGTCTTTGTCCATGACCTGGTTTTCATTGATTCCAGGATCTCACATCTTGTGCTACAAATATCAGATAATTCACTCCTGCAGGTACTTAGCAGTTGTGAAATCAAGTTGTAATGCCCTATATTACTTAACATCCTCTCCTGCAAAGAACTGAGCTTACAGGCACTTTTCCTATTAGCAGTATCCTGAGTAGGATTTTGTTGGACTTTCCCATTTGAGTGTGGGGATCTGCCTTGTGCAAAAGCAGAAATACCTATTTCTTAAAGCTGCAATCCATATTTCTAATGGGAGACAGCCTGGGAAATGTTTACCTGACCATCCATGGTAGTATTTTACGTTGGCCCCCCAGTCACAGTCCATGTTTGTGTTCCTGCATGCTGGCAGCCCCAGCAGGCATCCACCTCCCTCTCCAGGGAGTCAGGCAGCATCTTTCAACTTCATTAAGCCACAGAATGGGTCATCACAAGCTCAGAGCCCTGACAGCAAGCATTGAAGTGCTTTCTGAGAGCAGCAGTGGATTCTCCTCCTGTGTGGCTCCTGAGGAGACAAAGCTCATGGGGCTGGGCAGAACCTGGCTCCTGCAGCTCGCTGGCTCCTGTGGCTGCTCTCTTCACAGAGCAGTGCTTGTGGTGGTGCCAGCTTGTCTGTGGGTAGTTTGAGTACTTTTAAGAGTGGATGGCAGAGGATTGACATGCCCCAAGACTGTCTGGCTACCCTAGGACTTCTTCTTTTTTCCTTTTCAGTTTGCTCCATCCCAAAGTCTTAATTGCATTTGGTTGTTCAGGAGCAAAAAAGAAAATACAGTCATGAAACCAGATACTGTGGAACATTCAAACAGCAAATGACACTTTCCACCAGGTGTGACAATGCTCCAGAGTCTTAAACAGAGACCTCTAATATGAAACACAGGTCTGCAATGAGCAACTTCCAGCTCCATGGGCTCTGGATGGTGCCTGTTGCTAAGGGTGACAGCTCCAGAGCCAGCTGTGATGGGACACTTCTTGTCACCCTCTTTCTGATGTGGGCTGGCACCTCCTTGGATCTTGGCAGTGCTGTTTGTCTGCAGTGCCTGCAGCAGGGTAGAGCAAAGGGATAGGTGAAGAGAAAGCTGCTTTCCCCACTGTTCCAAATGCAAGGTTTTGCACTGCCAGGAATGCATTATCTCAGTCCTGGGGCAGCCTGTGTTCAGTTCACTCTGCTGCTGTGAGTGACCACTGTGGAATCAATTACACTCACCTTGCAAAGAAGATAAAACAATTTAGATTGTCCAGAGAGATGTGTTTGCAGTGTGTGATGGCAGCTGCTTCCCATCAGCGCTGCTGGCTCCGTGTGAGAAGAGTCAAACCTGATTTATTGGTGATGATGAGTTAGAAATGTCAGGCTTGATCCTCCTGGGTTCCCATGAGGGCTGGTTGAAGCTGTCAGCATTCAACCCTTATAGTTCTGATGCTCTTAAGTGCAGTGCCTACATCTTGATTTGCCTTCCCAATTTTACATAAAATGCTTAAGGGACTTCATGCTTTTCAAGGGTTTTCATTTCTAAGGGCTGATAATGGGGCTGTTTGGATTTACCCATTTTTGCAGGGCTTTGGACATAAACAAAAGCAGTGTGTGCACAAAGTTGTCTCCTGGGCCTTGTATGAAGCCCAGTTGATCAAAATAATAAAGATGAGTATTCCTGAACTCCTTCATTAAATGAAATCCTGAGAACTGCTCAAATCCAGTAGCTGAACTCCAGGAATATTTACCCCTATGCCAGACATCATTGCTTATTTATGAGGCAACATTTCAAAGAAAGCCTTTTCACTGCAGCTGCTTTAGAAGACTGCCTTTAACTCGTGATAGGTGAGGTGTTTGAAATCTTCTTTGCCTCAGCCTTTGCTAGTGAGGGTTTGCTCTCAGGCTTCCCAGGGCCCTGATCCTGTTTGAGGGAGTGAAGTGCTACCCACAGTAGGTGGAAAAGAATCTAAAAACCCTGGAAGCAAAGTGGATGTGTGCAGTTGGGATGTGCATGGAAGCAGTTGGGATGCAGCCAGCTCTGCCTGGGAGAACTGGCCAATGTCATTGCAAGGCATGTTTGGAAGTTGATGAGGATGAGGGAAGAATGCTAATTTTTGGAAAAGACAATTCTGACACCCCTCCTTAGGAAGGACAAGAAGGAGGATCCAAGTAACTGTACACTGTCAGTTCAATTTTCCTGGAAAGGTTATTAGCCAAATCATCTTGGAAGCCATTTCTGAGAACGTGCAGGACCAGTAGGGGATGGGCAAGAAGCAAAGGGTGAGTTGTGCCTGATGTGATGAGGTAACTGGTTTGGGGTTGAGGAAGAAACAGTGGAAATTAATTTGTGTTCATTTTGAGCAAGGCTTTACAAGCCAGGATCAGTGGAACGATTTAAACCTTTTATTTCTCTAATCAGGAGACTTAATGAGACAAGGCCTTAGAACCAGAGCATTCCAGTGCCCTTTCTGAATCCGGTGTTCAAGAGTACAAAATGCCACTGGAAGATGAAATAGCTTTGAAGGAAGTTAACTCCTTATGTTTGGCAGACTTTAAGGTAGACAGACAAAATGGAAATTTCTTTAAAAGAGTAGAAAGGAGTTTTCAGTCCCCCAAAAGGAAATTTAGACTTTTTAGTTGCTCAAATTAGTCTCAAGAATTGTCAGAACACCTTAGAATGGGACTTTTGAAAATGAAGTTCTCAATGTTCTTGCTTTTTGAAGTTTTTCAGCAAAAGACTTTCTGTGTCATCACACAGCAGTCCATAACTGGAGTTCTGGAAGGCAGTATGTTCTCATGAGCCTCTAATCTATTTTAGGGAGTTTCAGCAGAAGAATTCTATTGCAAAGTGCTGTTCATTTAATATTTTTGCTCGTGGATCAGCAAGTGTATTTTTCATGGAAATAGTTCCAGCCTTAAGGTTTTCTCTGTGTTTGGCATCTGAGGGCAGAGAAGGGGGAAGAGGAAAGAAAGATTCTTTTGGTTTTAGCTGGAAAATCTTTTTTTCTTTAAAAAAAGAACAGCGATTTCTAAGAAAACCAAAAATATTATCCTTGACACAGCAATTTTCCAAGTCTCCAGTGGTGCCATGCTGTGCATGTAGATACTTGCTGCTTGCAGGTGGTTGAGAAGATAGGAACCCTGCTATAAGAACATAAATAGGGGCATCAGTAGTTGGTAACTTTCTGAGAGATGCTAATGGAAAATGTTTTCTGAAAAAGGAGCTCCTACTACATGGCTGTCCTAGAAACAGCTCAGATTACATTTGGTGGTGCCTGAGTTAAAAAATCTTTAGTGTGTGAGGAATATGGAAAATATTAGGAGAACCTGGTTTATAGTTGAAAGAGGTGCTGCCAAGACCAAAATGATGTAAAAAATACTGCTGTGGCCAGTGCTAACACCTTGGCTTATTGAGACTGATTGCTGCAGTCATGGAGATCTCCCTTTTGCCATCCTCTCTGTTAATTAAAATGTGTGTTGCATTCAAAGCAGACGATGAAATCAGTCAGTTGTTCATTTTCCTAGTTTCATCTTTTCCTTTCAGCAGGCACTGCAGTACAATGGGTCCTTCCTGGGCAGCCAAACACAATAGGAAGCACACAGTTAGAAAAAGTCAGCCATCCTTGAATAATACCCATCAGGCAGCTTTCTTAGCTTATAAGAAAGAAGATCAAGAAGCAATTTGATTAGAGTGCTTTTGCAGGGAAACAAAACCAGATGCAGTCTTTTCATCCTAGTGCTGAAAGTCAGAACAAGGACAAATAAATGTGAGTTAAATTCAGATGCATCCAGACATAAAATGAGGTGTAGGTACAGGTGCTCCCTGTGCCATGATTCTTCCAGTGGGGACACCCTCGAGGCTGGTGCTTGTCTGGTAGTGCTGTTTTAGTCCAAGCAGAGTTATTTGGGTCCAGCTGAAAGCAGCACAGTGAAATCTCTGAGAGCAGACTCACTGACCCAACAATCCAGGCTGTCGTTAAACTTCATGGCTCCTGGAGAAGTAATAAGTGCAGGAGTCTTTTCAAACACATTGAAAAGAAATATAAAACTTTCATAAGTAGATGCATTTAAATGCCTGTGGCATTTAGTGGTTTTGGTATATCAGGTATTGCCAAACCCTGCTCAGCCAGCCTGCCTCTGCAGCTGTTTCATGGGGAAGCTGGGATCATAACAGTGCTCTGTACCTGAAGGGAACATTTTCCCTTTTACATCATCTGTCCAGGTCTTTAAGGGTGTGGGAAAAGTTGGCTCATGAAGTCATTCATGCATTCAGGTGAATGAATCCAGGATTGTCCTGGCACCAAAAGAGGTATCAGAGCCTGGCACCTTGCAGGAATGCTCATTCACATTTTATGCTGAGGTGATAATTTGGATTGTGACCTGAGCATGGTTGGACTGGGATGTTCTCAGACTCAAGTTTCATTTGGGTTTCCCCTTTAGAACACTTCTTGTGCCACAGTTTCAAACCCTTTTCCCACACCTCTTTGTTTCAGAAAGAGCTGTCTGAATGTTTTAACTCCCTGGTCACATCTTTATTTCACCACCTCCTCCTCTTCCTCTCCCATATCTATCAGCAGCTGCTAGGAAACTGCGGTTCTTAATACACTGACAAACGCTTTGTTTCATTTTTCCTGGTGACTGTATCTTTCTCTTTCCTTGCCTCCCATCCAGTAATCTTCCTTCCACTGTTGTTCCCTCTTTTCCTTTTGTTATGTGTTGCTTTTCCCTCCTCTGAGCACATTTGTAATGCCAGCACCGGGCTCTGGCATGGTTGTTCCTCGTGTTGCATTCCTCAGGATATGTAAGAGATGTTTTAAAAACCTTATCTCACTGTTTACAACAGCTTGCTGCTGCTGTTTAATAAATTACGGGGATAATTGGTTTTCCAGGGTTCACATCTACAATGTAGTACAGCAGGGATGTAACTGTATCTTTCTCAGCCATTTATCACTCAGAAACACTTGATATGAAACACCGAAATAAACGTTTTAGTGGCGTAGCAAATTTAAGACAAACCTTTCATTGCAGGTTTCTGCTCCAAGCATTCCCTGCAGGAATCAGTTTTTAGGACCTGTTGCTGCAGCCCTGTTAAATAACTCCAGAGACTCCTGATGAGTTCCTCAGGTTTTGCAGTGCCCACATCTCAGAGTGGTGAAGTCATCTGGTCCTGGGGTGCCAGAGATTGGTGTTTCACCCAGATACTTCTTCACAACGAGTGTGTCCTGATAGCCACAGCTGGCACCATGAGTCTTGGGGATTGTTGGGAGCTGGAACATGATGTGGGAGCAGGAAAGATGGCAATGGAGAAAACCAAAAATGCACTGGGGGCTTAGAGAGTTGAGTGGTGACCAGAAAGCTCTGCAAGGTGTGTAAGCATCTGATCATGGGTCAATATATGAAGAGAGACTGCATCCCTCTCCCAAAACCTTTGCATCAGCTCACAATAAGGGCTTGCTCTCCTGTGTAGTATCCTCACCAAGCCTACTGAGGTTTTTTTCCTTCTCTTGCCATATCTACAGATATATCCAGTGTGCACATAGATTCCTTCCCAAATCATGTTCACACCTTCAATTTATTCCACCCTTTCCTTTCTCGAGTCCATCTGAAATGGAGCCACTAAAAAAAGTGGAAATTTCTTTAAAAGAGTAGAAAGGAGTTTTCAGTCCCCCAAAAATGTTCTGCCTGCATTCTCAAGAGAGTCACTCTCCCAAAGGTCCCTGGGGAGGATCTCTCCCTGGCAGAGGGGGGTCTGGTCTGCAGCACCACAGGATTTTGCTGGATGGGTGACGTGGGGTCCTGTACTCCTCCCTAGGTACAGGGGGAAGACGTACAGGGCGACCGTGAAGATCGTGCGCACGTCGGACCAGGTGGCAGATTTCTGCAGGAGGGTCTGTGCCAAGCTCGAGTGCTGCCCCAACCTCTTCAGCCCTGTGCTGGTGGCTGAAGTCTGCCCCGAGAACTGCTCCATCCACACCAAAACCAAGTACAGTGAGTATTGGGAAAATGATCTTGGTGCTGGCTGGGAGCCAGAGGAGTGGGAGGTGGTGTGTGGTGAAGAACAGGAGTTGTGTGATATGTTCATACTGATGAGGATTCATCTCATCTAAGAGCAGTTATTTAATCCTGAGGCCACCACAGGCTCCCTTGGAATCCTGTACCAGAAAACTGTCCCTCTTACTGCATCCTAATGCATCTGTTTGATAGCCATCACTTTTTGGAAGTCTTGAATTTTCTTCATATCTAAAGTTAACACAATGAGCTCATAAAAGGAACCTGCAGTGGGGAGCTGAGATTTTAAGTTGCTACATCTAAGACAGCTTTGTTAGGTGAGATGAATCCTCCTTGTAAAGAGTTTCTGGCATACACACCAGCACAGGCCAGAACCTCAGTGCTGAGGTGCTGGAAGGTTTGAACACAGACTCTCTACTCAGAGTGTTTAATACTTAAACATGATCCTGCCTGTTCAGGAAGGTTGTTGTTAGTGTTCAGTTCTTTTTGTTGTCAATGTTATTGGAATTATTGGCTGTCAGACAGGTCAGGAAAGTGGAAGGGAGTGTTGTCCTTCTTCCACAAAGGTTGCAAAAAGCAGTGTAATTGACCTAAAGCAATTCTTTGAGTTTGGTGCCAGTAGAAGGAGGAACGTGCACAGGGGGATACTGAGATCCCTGGGGATGGGTTTCTCTAGAAATCTACACCTGAGCTGGAGTCCTGGCTCCCACTCGTAGCAAATGGAGAGCTGGAGGAGCTCCAGCTGAGGTTGTCCCATCTCAAAGTTGATGGTTTATGTGACTGGAAGAATTTTTCCTCAGAAATCCATTGATTTGCTGAAAGGCTCAGTTCAGTTATGAACTTTGCCACGGGTGCCAAGGGCCATTTTAGTTGTCCTGGGATACTCTAGCTCATCAAGGACATTGTGTCCTTCATCCCCAGAGTGTGTCAAAAGGCATTTAATACAAACATTTAATGTAAGGTCAGAGGACTTAATTTCAGCCTGGTCCACAAAATAGTTAAAAGTAATAAAAACCCATTCCTTTGTACATGATTGAGGCTAGCTGGCCCTCTCCCCTCTCTGCTGAAAACTTCAGCAACTTTACCTCACACAGAACTGCATTGGATCAAATCTGGAACTTGTTGGCCTCTTTCCCTCCAAGTCACTGCTCAGCTCTGCCTAAACACATTGTTAAATCCTGAAGTCTTCATTCATCATCAATAAATCTGGATACATAAGAGCTGTAACACTCTGTGCTAGTCCAACATGACCTATTTATGCTGTACAATTTTTTTTTTCCCCAAATCAATTTATTTTAAAGTTTAAATTGCACTTAGAGTACATTCCCGAAACTGTAGCAAGGAGCAAGCCAAGGTTCCCTTCTTTGGTGGTTAAACTTTTTAATGGGCATTGTGCTTCATTTCTCCAGCTTATTATTATGGGAAGAGGAAAAAAATCATTAAGCCACCGATTGGGGAAAATAACAACCTGAAAAGTGGCCATGTCAAGCCAGCCAGACGCAGAAAGAGGCGGAAATCCATCTTTGTGCAGAAGAAAAGGAGATCATCAGCTGTGGATTCCAATGCTGCAGGCTCTGCAGAGGTTTGTGTCACACTGGATAAACCAGCAAAAACCCCTTGGTCTCTTCTTCTTGTCCCCCATTCTGCATTTTCCTTTTGGGGGGCTTCTCAGCACACCTGAACACTTCCAGTTTCTGTTTTGGATCTTTCCTTGCTGTTCTCTTCCTCTACGATCAGACTGGTTTTACTGGGGCAGTTTGGGGATTTTTGCCTTGGCCATTTCAGAAGTAGCAAGCAGATTTCTTGCTCTCAGCCAGCTCACTGGCTGACATGCTCTAATATCTCCTTTTATTTTATTTCCTTCCTTAAAAGCAGGCAGATGAGCCTGTTGGATGCTTTGCACAACATTTAGCAGAGTGAAGGAGCTCTGTGATCCATGCCTAAGATCTCCAAGTATTGTAATAAATAATAATAGCTCATAGCCATTGTGGTTTCAAGGAATTTTGTATATTTTTTAACTATTCCTAATATTTTTGACTCATAACATCAAGCCTTAGCATGCAAGCAAATGGTTTGTGTCCCAAATACATGGAATTTGAGGGCTCAGTCTTTCCAGTCTGCTGTGTGATATAACAGGTTCTGAGCCTCAGCAAAGATTCATATCCAGATTAAACCTGGAATAGACTTAGCTCTGTGTGGGCTGTTTTCTGGGGGCTTTTCCCATGGTGGCAGTAACAGAGCTCATGTGGTTTCACTTCCTCAGCTGAGTGCCAGTGATTGCTGCTTTGTGCAATGTGAAATAAAATTGGTTTACTTAAATTCCCTCCACTTCAGCTAGAGTAGGTTATTTTATTCAGCTTTCAGTTGATTGCCTGCATCTTCATGGCTTGGTCCTCATTTAGGTGTAGTTCTGCTTCATTTCCTTAGATTATACCTGCTTCAAAGGAACTTAAACTTATGTTAAGCCTAAATCAACCATTAGCCAAGTTTTTCAACCTTTCAGCCAATACAACTATCTTTGTCTAAACTGCTCTTTCACTCAAGACCTGAGCACATGGCTTTGGGTGCCTGCTCACACTTGGAACAGAGATAAGCTGTCAAAGCCATTTGGACAGGTTATATATATATATAAAGTCCAAAATGCACAGTTTCCATCAGTTGCTGAGTGTTTGTAAAGCCCTGTGTGACAGAAATAACAAGAATCTGGTATAAGGCTTCAAATGAACTTAGGGTTTCACCTCCAGCAGTTCAATGTTGGGCTGAAAGCAGGGAAATCTGGGTGCAATCCTCTGTCCTGAGTTTTGCAGAAATGTCACTAAAAGAGTCCTATCTCGAACATCTAGCCATTTTCAAAAGGCACCAAAATGTCCCTTTTTTCAGGAGCAGTAACACCCTAACCAATTTGAAGCAATGTGAAAGTTTAAAGTCAAGTTTCTGATTTTATTTCATCTCAGTCAACCCGAATTTCATTTTATCCTCTTAGTATTTTCCATTTCTCCTCCTGCACATCTGCAGTGCCACAAGTTTTGAGATACCAGCCCAGGATAGGAACGTTTCATGCCAGATGAGTCATTGCTGTTGACCTTTAGTGATGCACCTTTGCTGGGTGCAGGGTCCGGATAGCACAGTCCTCTCTGGGACAGACTGCCCGAGTTCCTGAGCAGCTCTCAGCCACAGGCAACCTCAGCAAGCTTAAGTGAGATCAGCTCTTTTATTAATGTAGTGATTTAGTGATTTTCAGCTCACTGTGGTTTCAGCCCTTTCAGCTTGCAGGTGCCCAGGCAGGCAGACACAGGGAGAGAGAGGAGAAGGCTGTTTGGAGTTCCACAGTGATGTCTTTATTGATTCTTCTGAGAAGGGTTCCAGTGACAGCTCTTCTACCAGAACCAGGCTAAACCAGCCCTTTATATAGGGTACAGGGGGATCAGAAATGGTCCAGTGGCAAGGGTTAAAGGAAAGTGATCTATAGGGTTATACAGAGGGTTCCAAAAGGCAGAAGAGGGGCTTCTGGCCTATTCACCATGACTTGGCATTTCCTATCTTTAGGCTTCTGCACACCAAGGGGCCCTTGCAGACCCAGGGCCTGCTACACTTTAGTTGGGAGGAGAAGAAGAAGAATTTCCTGCCATACACCTTTTTTTCTTCTGCATTTTGTAACAAACCTAAATGTAGGGCTAATTCACTTACTGCTGTAACGAAAACTTGATAATTCACTTAAAAGAAATGTTACCCCAGACCAGCACAGCCATGGAGTGCAGTCTGCCCCATCCATGCCTTTGGCTCTGCTGCTGTGTCCATCTCCCGGGTGCTGTTTGAAATAAACACAGGCAGGAGACTTTTCTCCTTTTTCATGCCTTTAATAAAAGTGATCAGCTCGGGTGGGGAGAACCGACAGGTCCATGCTCACGCTGCCGCTGCCGCTGCTCCCAGGAGTGACTCAGGGGAGGAGGCAGAGTTCAGCTTTGTCCACTGGTCTGTGGGCAGAGCTGGGGGTTCCATCCTCAGGAGAGCATCAGGAAATCCCTTGTTCGCTTTTTTGGCCTGACCTTCAGGGTCCTGCCTCTAGCTGAGGTCCTCCTTGGCTAGGGCAGGCGTCTCTGCAGGCTCTGGACTTTGTTCCTCACGTCCAGACATCACTTTGATCTCTTAATTCTGTGTTGGCTCGTTGTTTTTGGGGTCTTTTTGGTAAGTTTGGTGGAGTGGCTTTCCCGTGGCACGCTGGCTCCGAGGTCATTTGCATGCCCTCCTTTCACTGTCCGAGAAGGGCCATCCACCTGGCAGCAGGCAGGGTGGGACTGACAGAAAGGGGAATTCTCAACAGTAGGCATTTAACAACCACTCTTTAACAGGTGATTACAACATGAAGCTAACAAAGAACTCTCCTCTGCCAGCAACCAGCTCAGCTTGTAACTCTGCAACCTTTTTAAAAAAATGGGTAACCTTTTTTTTTTTTTTTACTCACAACACTGTTTGTGCGTGCAGGAGAGCGAGGAGGACGAGGCGGACGCGATGGAGGACGAGACGGGCAGCGAGGAGACGAGCTCGGAGCTGCGCGATGACCAGACGGACACGTCCTCGGCCGAGGTGCCCTCGGCCCGGCCCCGCAGAGCCGTCACCCTGCGGGCCAGCACCGAGCTGGACAGGCCCCCTGCCCCTGAGAGAGCGCGCCGCAGCCGCAGGGCCCAGCCCCACTCCTGCAGCGAGGCCGACAAGGGCACGCCAGCCAAGGAGGTGAGAGTGTGTTTCATAGCGCAGTTCATCCTAAATGGACCTTCAGTGCTGGCATGAGCACGGGCAGGAGACCTTTCTCCTTTTTAATGCCTTTATTAAAAGTGATCAGCTCGGGTGGGGAGAACCGATGGGTCTGTGCTCACGTCGCTGCTGCTCCCAGGAGTGATTTGGAGGAGGAGGCAGAGTGCAGCTTTGTCCACTGGTCTGTGGGCAGAACTGGGGGCTCCATCCTCAGGAGAGCATCAGGAGATTCCCTTGCTGTTCAGTTCAACATTCGAGGTCCTCTGTCTAGCCAAAATCTTTAGGTTAGGGTGAGGGGTAAAAAGGCCTTGGCGGATACTGGATTCTGTTCCTCACATCTGGTCATCACTTTGATTCGTCAATTTTGTGTTGGTTTATTGTTTTAGGGGTTTTTGGCTAGGTTTGGTGAGGGGTCTCTCCCATTGCATGCTGGATCCGATGTCATTTGCATGCTGACTCTATGTCCCTTCCCCTTCACCGTCTGGGTGCCATCCTCCAGGAAGCAGCAGGGTGTCACTGACAAAACGGGGAATTCTTAACCATCAACGACAGGTCGTTAACAAAAACGACAAGTGATTACAACAACAAACAGTTAGAACTCCACCCTGGCAGCAACTGGCCCAACCTGTGAACTCTGCAACCTTTAAAAAAAATAGGCAGCTTTTTCTACTCATAACAAGTGCCAAACTTTGCTGCTCTGAGGAGGGCAGCCCTGCCCTGGTTCTCCACTGTTGGACACCCCTCTGGCTGTCCTGGATGGCTCGAGCACCTGTCAGGGGGCTCAGAGCCCAAGACCCTTTGATTATGACCCATGGAAAAAATTACCAACCTTGTATGAGGATCTGCGAGCCACGAAAGTCTAAGTAGAATGACAGTTAGTTTGTCACAGGGTGAAAAGTAGAATTTTGGGGTTTTTAGAATGGGGTCCCCAGATGGAGGAATTTGGGCATGCCTTGTCCTTCTTTCTCCTTCTTCCTAGCCTCCATCTTCTGGGTGGTGGTGGCACTTTTGGATTGGTTTAGGGTAGAGACAGATTGTCTAACATAGGTGATAGGTATTGGGAAATTATTGTAAATAATGTACACATAGTTTTTAGTATAAAAAGACAACACCGCCCTGAAGTGGGGAGTGTGCCACTGACTGACCTGATGGATGGACCTCAGCAGGTCAGGAAAAGAATGTTACAGATAACAGAGAATAAACAACCTTGAAAACCAGAACAGAAGAATCCTGACCCCTTCTTCTGTTGCTGGGCTGGGAAAAGAGACTGACACATCTTGGGGTCATCCTGACCACAGAGACTCCGAGACTCCACAGGAGGTTGTTTGCTATATGATATCACCCTTGGGCCAAGAATGACACAAGAACAGGTGAGAGACCCAATTGCAAGAGGAGAAAAGAAGGGTTTATTACAAGGGATTCTTATATTTTTATAGACTGATAGGATACATTCCACTTGATTGGCTAGTTAATAAAAAACACCTTTCTCACACACCATCCTGGAGAAGAACAGAAAAACAAAGTGAAAAAACACCACCCGTAGATTGTTTGTACTAACAAGTTATCACATTCTTACAACTCCCTAAAAATTCTTACAAGCCACTGGGCTAAACAATTGCCATTTCTGTCTCCCTGACAGGCTGGCATCCACATGATGAAAACCTTTCTTTGTTATTTCTTTCCCTCACAGGAAATTAAGCCAGAAGAGGAAGAGAAGCTTGTCCTGGACAGTAACCCACTGGAGTGGACTGTGACTGATGTCGTGAGGTTTATTAAACTCACTGACTGTGCACCCCTTGCCAAAATATTTCAGGAGCAGGTAGAATGCTTTTGTCACTTGTCCCTTTGTGTCTGTGGTGCCTGTTCATGCTACAGGACATCCCACCTTGCTGGCTGGGCCTGGGGCTTGGGTACAGAGACTATGACCAGACTTCAGGTCCATCAGGCCGAGTTATAACACCAGTTTTGGCAAGGCATGAAAGCCCTACTTGAGTCAGAACCTTGAGTCAGATCCTCAGAGAGTCCAGAAACTCAATTGCCTTGTGGAAAGCAGGAGGTTTAGTCCTTTCATGCCAAGGTCCACGGTGCCATACTCATGTCCCATAGGTAGGAACCTCAGTGTAAAAACAGGTCATGGTTACTTGGTACACTCTAGGCTTTCTCCCAGCCACATGTGTTCCATCCTGTTCTAAAATACTGGCCTGGGAAGCAGAAAAGTGCTGCTTGAAGCCCAAACTGGCTGTCTAAATTTTGCTATTAACACCTAGATGTCCAAGGTGTGTAGACACCTAATTCCTGACTATGTTCCTCTGAAGATCTGCCAGTCAGGCCTTGGATGACCTAAATTTAGGAGATGCTAGTCTTCTCCCCATTAAGCAGATAGGTTTGCAGGAGCAAAGCCAGTGCTCTTCATCTCAAGCCAGTGAGAGTGTGTACAACCTATGTGGAAAGAGCCATTCCTTGGCAAATGAGTCGCAGCCACTGCCGAGGGTAAAGGGCAGCACTAACGAGCTGTAGTTAGGAAAAAACAAGTGTAGTTAATTAATCAGTGGTGTGGCCAGCTGCTCACTGAACTGTCTCTGATTCTTCACCATGGATGACTCCAGCTGCTGTGGCTGGGAGAAGGTGGAGGGTGAGTCTGGAGCGAGTGAAACTCCCCAGAGCAGGATGCTGCAGTTGCTGTGCCACAGCGAGCTCCAACCATTTGTTAACCAGCCTGGAGCAATGCCAGGGCTTGGAAGCCAAGCCTGGCTCCTTTGCCAGAGAGTTTTATAGTGGCTTGAATCAAACACAGATGACTGGAGCTTTTCCTTGTAAAGCCCTGGTGCAATGGTCTGTGCCATCAGCCTTCAGTGGAGGATGGACTGAGCTGTGGACAGTCTGATCAAAGCAGCACTTCAGGTGTCTAAATACTCCTTTTCTAAATCCTAAGTCAAAATCTTAACTCCAAGTCAATTTAAAGTGCTGCCTAATCAGGGCTGTCCTGGGGAGTTTATGTTGGCTGTGAGTTGCTGTGCATAGACTCTGATCCTCCCTAAAGGGTTAAAAGCAGTTTTGTGGCCTGATCATCTCAGTCTATTAAACAACAAAGACAGCTCAAGCTTTTTATTAAGAAGAGGATCATAAAGCCAGCAGAGGTTCCCAGTAAAAGTGCTCATCCAGGGTACTGGTTCATGGAGTTTGGTGCACAGTTATGCTTGAGGGGAAGACATGACCTGCAGAGGTCCTTTGCAGCCTACACCATTCTGGGATTGTAGGACATACGAGATTGCAAGGGCTTTGGGTGTCCAGGCCCCTCTCTTGGTCATTCAGCAGTGGAACAAGGCAGGTCCTGGGTGTACCTGGGTACAGGGCATGGAGCAAGGTAGACATAAACCTGTGCTGAGCAATCCTGGCCAGAGGAGGTGGGGAAAGGGTCTGACTTGGCAGTGGGACCAGCATCAGTTTGTCCATTCTGCTCCCTCCTCTGTCTCCTGGAGTCTCTCTGCAGCCTATCCCCTGTTTCAGTTCCTCAGGCATAAAAGGGACTGATCAGATCTCTGTTGGCTCTGCAGAGGTTCTTTAGGTGACCCCTCATTTCAGCAGCTGGGAGGCTTTTCCCAAGCTGGGGGTTAAGGTGATAACCTATGCAGAGACACTAGACAACTTCTGAAAAACCATGTTGTATCTCAGGAAAAGGAGATGAACAATGTCAAAGTGGGAGAAAAAAGCAGAGGATAAAATAACTTAATTTTTAGGGCAAACTGCCCTTCTTGTTCCTCCAAACTAGCTTATGCATTCTGCCCTCCAGAGTCCACAAACAAAAGCATTTTCCCTGTGTTTCTCTCCCCAGGACATTGATGGCCAGGCCCTCCTGTTGCTGACACTGCCCACCGTGCAGGAGTGCATGGAGCTGAAGCTGGGCCCAGCCATCAAACTGTGCCACCAGATCGAGAGAGTCAAAGTTGCTTTCTATGCACAATATGCCAACTGACTGCACTTCTGCATTCCTTCCTCTCCTCCTCCTTGTTCCCTGTCTTTTTTACCATTTCAGCTTGTTCAAGGGGTTTTCTTCCCCCTTTTCCTTTTTCTTTTCCAAGAACAAGTGGAATTGGAAGCACTGGGAGCAATCTGCAGGGGGAAGAAAAAGAAACACAAAAAGAAACGAGCTACAAATGGAACTAAATTTTCTGTACTTGTAAAGCACATGGAAAGACTGCTGGCATCTCTCCTCATGAGCCTCTCCAACCCATTGCCCAGTGGTGCAAGGCCAGCATGGATCAGCTGATTTGTCACCAAACCAAACCTACCAATGGCAGACACATTCCCAAGGAGAAGGGTCAGACATTCCCAGGTGGTCATGGTTTGTCTAGGACAATTTCTGGACATGAACATTTCTTTTAGACAGCTCTGACACTCTTCTTTCATATTGAAATGTAAGTCATCATTTGTAGCATTACCTGGGGTTTAACTGCAAGTTTGATCTTGGTGATCTTGCAGTGATCTTTTTTTTTTTTTCCTTCCACCTCTCTGGTTTTACAAAAGGAAAAAATGTTACACCAGGCATATAATGGTTATTCCTGACTGAATTTTGAAAGAGGATTCAACCCATGGTCTCTGTGATACCAGACAAAATTGCAGGGGACTGACAGGGGTGGCACAAGACCTGGTGGGGCAGCAGCACACCCTGAGCCACGCTGGCTCTGCACAATCAGCTGGAAATCTCTGTGATGGGATCTGTACAGTGCTCCATTCTTGTACAGGAACATGAAGGCTTTCATAGTCAAAATCTTAACTCCAAGTCAATTCAATGACCTGTCTTAGAGCCACAAGGTGACAGCAGACTGGGATCAGGGACTCCTGCTCACCCCTGTGCTCAGAAGAATCTGCTGACCCACACCAGGCTGCAGCTGCTGCATTCTCCTTCACTGGTTTCCTTCTTAAATTCTTTGGAGAAGAGGGAGGACCTTCAGATATAAATACTCTGGAATACATCCAGATCTTGCCCAGAGGATGTTTTAGGCAGGAAGCACTGACTCTGCCATGCATCACTTGGGAATTCCTGGCTTGCCTTTCAGCAAGTTTCCTGATTTGTCACTGAGGAATGGGATTGGTGCACCTGCTGCAGGCTGGACCAGATGCTGAGACTTCATCAGAAATGTTCTTACATGGGAGATGAGCAGGACTGGATCTGTTCTCAACTGTTGCTTTGTTCTCATGATCTTCTTCAAGTTTTAATTGGTTCAAGGCAGCGTTTGTTGCCTCTGCATCAAATGCTGGGGTTTTGTTCTTCAGAAATCCAGGAAAAGGGTTCTGTAGTGGGGCAGATGTTAAAAAAAAATGGGGTTTTGACTGTATTTCCTGCTGACAGTGAAATGTGTCAGTACAACTGATTTGATAACTGCTTTGGATCCCTCTCAGGGTCCCCTGAAAGTGTCGCTCAGTGTTTCACCTCTGAAGACTGAAGGATTGAGCCCAGCAAAGTGAGAGAGCAGCTGAGAAAATCAGGGAGGCTGCTTCTGCCAGCTCCTCCTCGCTTCAGCCCAGTCCTGGTGTTCCATCTGTCAGCAGGAGACAGCTCCTGGGAGGATTCTGTCAGGAGAACTGGTGCATGAGGACATTCCAAGGAAGAGAAGCAGGAGGGCTGTTTGCTAAACAGCATCCCAGCACTGATCCTTTACTCATCAAACCCAGCTTCTTCTGCTGCTCAGATGTTCTTGGAGTTTCTGGCCTCTGGGATTTGTCAGAGGCATTTCATGCCTTCTGGGACACACTGCAAAAATGTCATTTTTTGTCTCCATCAGCCTTGTAACTGTAGATATTCCTATGGCAGCTAATTGCTCGTGGAGGCATGACTGGGGAGCAGACACACACAGACTCTGAGAGCAACCAGCTCTAGTGCTGGCCAGCCAATGAATGGGTGAAGCATTGAGCCAAGAACATGGGAATCTTTACTGGCTGTTCAGGGAAGTTAAATCATATTCAGAACTCGAACTATTAAACAACATCAAAAAAGTTTTAATTTTATCTCGCGCCGGCTCTTTTATTCCTGCAGATTTCTCTCCCACTATTTGTCTTTCACTTTATTGCTCTTCAGTGTTGCCTCATTTATCACTTTCTGTCCTCCCAGAGAAGTTGATAACCTGAAATCTTTATGCTGAAATTACCTTGGGTGGTAAATGCTTTATTGTTTATCTTTAGTCTGCAGGTTGGGAAGAGTACAGGATTGGGGTACTGTTGGCTGTTGCTTTGGTAGCTTTCCAGAAAAGCTGGAGCTGAACTTCTTGGGTCATTTCTTACAAAAGTGGAGAATGAGTGGTGTGGAGTTTAACTGGACAATGTGCTCAGATTGAACAGAGATCAGAAGGAACTAATTGCCTTTGCCTGGACATAATTTCAATTCTGGAACATCTGTAAAGCTTTGGAGTAATGTACTTAAAGGAGATGATGGGCATCCAATCTTGCTGGAGTAAAATGCCACTTCACTTTGCAGTGTACAAGTGCAAACCACTGTAAGTTTCTGGGATTTTTTTGTTCCAGACCAGATTGATTCCAAGTTAAATTCAGAGCTGTTGCAGTTCCACAGATGCACTAATGACAGTGGTGAAGCCACATCTCCCCTCCCTGTTGTGAATTTGGCATCCAGGCCTGAAGTTTGCTGTGTTGCCAGCTGCAAAAATGCCACTGCTGAGAAGTGCTGAGCTCATGGTTACCCCAGGCCACTGCCAAGGGCTGGGGAGCAGCCCTGCTCTTATTTCTGGGCTGTTGGATGCTGACCTTCAGCACACTGACACAGACACTTTGCTCCCACAGGAGGGCTGTGCAGGTGTTCTGGACTCTCTTCGGGCACAGGACCAAAGATGAGCATTTTTGGAACGAAAACAGGGGGCTGGAGAGTGTATGGTGCCTGCTCATCTTGATCTGCACTGGCTTCTTTGGAGCTTGCACTCAGGCTGAACAGATCCATGGGCAGGTCCCTGCTGCCTTCACAGCCCTTGCCTTGGTAGAATCAGCCAATTCCCACTTTTCAGAGCCAAAGCATCCATCTCTGAAATGGGATGAAATCATTAACTTAAGGAATGTCCATGATTTCCTGCTTGGTTGTCCTGCCTTCTTCCTCCTGTCATGGATGCTCTTCAAGAAAAATGATATTTGATTTCAGGGCTTTTCTTCCTTTTTCAGCTCACAAGCACAGCTGCCAGAATGACCAAACCCTGGCTTTTCCTACCTCTCAGAGGCACAAAGGCTTCTCAGCTCTAGGAGGATTTCAGGGTTTCCAGCTCTTTTGTGTTACCCATATTCCATAACCCTTTATCATTTGGGCCTGCAGGGTGCAGAAACCTCCTAAAAATGCTGTGTGCCCTCAGAAAACACCAAAATCCAGGCACAACCTGTCCTTAGTGAATTATTCAGTAGATGCATGTCCTGGCTGAGATGGCCTGACCCACCCTCACAGATGTGTTTGGATGCCTGGTGGGATTTAAAAAGTTTCTCAGTGGGGCACCTGAACTCCTTTATTTTGCTCTGGGCAAACAGCTGATTTGCCTTAAGCTGGAAAGTCACCATTCCTTGGCTTTAACCTTCAGCCTGTTGCAGTCCCAGTTGTATGGTGTCCCCACCTCAGCCTTTTGAGGGCAAACCTGGCAATTTTGGGCTGCCATCATCAACATTTAGTCACCTCAAAGCCTGCCTTGGTCTTTTCAGGGCACAAAATCGAATTTGGCAGAGCTGCTGTTTCAGAACATCTCAGTGTTTCAGAAGCTCTGTGCAATCAGGGCACTTCAAGTACTTTGTGCTTTTCTGGTGCAGTGCATGTGGGAAACTCTGAACTCAGAGTGTTCCTCTCATTTCCAAATTCAAGTGCCAAAAGAGAACAACATGCTGCAACTGAACACCATTGAAACCAGCTTTATTATGCATGGATAAATACAGTCCCAAGGGCTCCATTTTGGTGCTAAGAGATGTCACGCTGTATTTTCCATTGCTTGGGATTGCAAAGCTGATTCCTTACTCCAGGAAATATTTTCTGTAATCTGCAACATCTTGAACATTAGATTTATTTTTTTTTTGTTCTCGTGACTGTACACTTTTTAACTTGGATACACTCAACAAATACTCCACCCACAATACTGGGTGTTTTGGAGATGTTTTATACAGTATATTTATGTAAAAATTCTTTCAAAATGTGGATGCGTGTATATTTTCCCCCTCAATAATATTCTTTATCACATCAGCTGACCCAGAACAAAAGGAATCTGTTACTCAGGATTTAATCCAGAAATAACTGAGGTTAGTGTTAGGGCCCTCAAGACGTGTGGGTTGTGGGACCAGTTTCTCTCACATAAAAGTCAAAAAGTCTGCACTTAATTAACAGAAAATTTAAATGCCTCCTTCTCCTAGCAGGAGAAATGCAGCTGCAGTCTGTCAGACTTCACAAGAGAGGGCTTGTGTCCTTAGGTGCTCATGAACTCCCTGTAAAGGAGCAGAAGCCTTTAATGGTCTCATTTATTCTTTGGTACAATACTCCAGCAAGAAGTGTAAATGGTGTTAATGGCTGCATATAGAATATGAGCCAGTCATCAAAGATCAGAATTTTATAGCCCAGCAGTGCTTTAAATGTCAGCTGTCCTGCAGAGTAAGAGTGGTTTTGCAGTGATTTGGTGCCATGCACAGGAATTCTCTTGCAGAAGACACATGAGCTGCACAAACCTGGGTCATAGTTACAAATACTCGTGGCCTTTCTCTTTTTTTAGTCTGTGGTGTTAATTTTTGCAGTGAAAAAGGTAAGTCTTGATCACTGCCAAGGATGTGGGAGAGGAGAGAGAGGGCTTCAAGAGGAGGGAGCCTGGAGTTCTGGACTTGAGTTGTCTTTGTGGAGAGGGACCTCTCAGAACAGCAGCACAGCTGGGATCTGTGAGCATCATCCCTGAAAGCTTTTCTTTTTCACAGCAGAGATGGTTTTTGAGTCCCAGCAGGGGCCAGGTGAGAGGAGGG